ATCAAATACAATTAAAAAATAAAAGGCCCAGGTTTTACTTCTTTAGGAACCTGCATCTATTCAGTTACTGTTGACATATCTAGGACTAGAATTGAAAATTGGAGTTTTATATCACTTATCTGGTTTCCTTTGAACTTAAAACTGAAACACATTCTCAAAGGCTATGCTGGCATGTACAAGCACATTTTGTGTCTTCTGCTATGAAATACGAATTCTAAAACATTAAGTTTTTGCCAAATCGAAGGACATTCTACAAAATACCTAAGCAGTAATCCTAAAAATTATCAGCATCATCAAAAACAAAGGGGAAGTCTAAGGAACATGATGACCAAATGCAATACAAAATCCTGGAGGAGTTCTTTGGACAGAAAGCATTAGGTAAAAACTAAGTAAATTCAAATAAAGCATAGCTTAGTTAATAGTAGTGTATTGGTTCAGTCAGTCAGTCAGTTCAGTCGTATCTGATTCTTTTTTTTTTTTTTTAATTAGTTGGAGGCTATCTGATTCTTTGTGACCACAAGGACTGCATCATGCCAGGCTTCCCTGTCCATCACCAACTCCCAGAGCTTGTGCAAACTCATGTCCATCGTGTCGGTGATGTCATACAGTCATCTCATCCTCTCTCAGCCCCTTCTCTTCCTGCTTTCAGTTTTTCCCAGCATTAGGGTCTTTTCCCATGACAGTTCTTTGCTTCAGGTGGGCAATGTATTGGAGTTTCAGCTTCAGCATCAGTCCTTCCAATATATATTCAATACTGATTTCCTTTAGGATTGACTGGTTTGATCTCCTTGTAGTCCAAGAGACTCTCAAGAGTCTTCTCCAACACCACAATTGAAAAGCATCAATTCTTCAGCACTCAGCTTTCTTTATGGTCAAACTCTCACATCCATACATGACTACTGGAAAAACCATAGCTTTGACTAGATGGATTGTTGTCAGCAAAGTAATGTCTCTGCTTTTTAATATGCTGTCTAGGTTGGTCATAGCTTTTCTTCCAAGGAGCAAGCATCTTTTAATTTCAAGGCTGCAGTCACCATCTACAGTGATTTTGGAGCCCAAGAACATAAAGTCTATCACTGTTTCCATTGTTTCCCCACCTATTCGCCGTGAAGTGATGGGACGGATGTTATGATCTTCATTTTTTGAATGATGAGTTTTAAGCCATATTTTTCACTTTCCTCTTTCACTTTCATCAAGAGGCTCTTTAGTTCCTCTTCGCTTTCTGACATAAGAGTGGTGTCATCTGCATANCTGCATATCTGAGGTTACTGATATTTCTCCCAGCAATCTTGATTCCAGCCTGTGCTCCACACAGTCCAGCATTTTGCATGATGCACTCTGCATATAAGGTAAATAAGCAGGGTGACAATATACAGCCTTGATGTACTCCTTTCCCAACTTGGAACCAGTGCATTTTTCCATGTACAGTTCTTGCTGTTGCTTCTTGACCTGCATACAGATTTCTCAGGAGGCAGGTAAGGAGGTCTGATATTCCCATCTGTTGAAGAATTTTCCACAGTTTGTTGTGATCCACACAGTCAACAGCTTTGGTATAGTCAATAAAGCAGAAATAGATGTTTTTCTGGAACTCCATTGCTTTTTCTGTGATCCAACGGATGTTGGCAATTTGATCTCTGGTTCCTCTGCCTTTTTTAAATCCAGCTTGAACATCTGTAAGTTCTCAGTTCACGTACTATTGAATCCTTGCTTGGAGAATTTTGAGCCTTACTTTGCTATCATGTGAGATGAGTTCAATTGTGCAGTAGTTTGAAAGTCTAGATGAAGAGATGAATAAGTTCTCTTCCCAATATGCCAGTATTGGCCCAGTGGGGAGTAAGTTTCTAATGCCATGAGTTTGAGTAGAAGGATGTACGCTCATCTTCTGCAAAAACTCCAAAATTGCAACTAAGCACTGAATAACCATTGACAAAAGAATGTTGGATCCCACCAAAAAAAGATACCCCATATCCAAGGGCAAAGGAGAAACCCCCAGCAAGATAGTTGGAGGGGCAAAATCATGTTTAGAATCAGACCCCATACCCACCAGTGACTCAGAGGGCTCAAACAAAACCTTGTGTGTATCAGGACCCAGGGACCCCACAAGAGACTGAGCCAGACCTGCCTTTGAGTGTTTGAGTGTCTCCTGCAAAGGCATGGGTCAGCAGTGGCCTGCCACAGGGACAGGGGCTCTGGCTGCAGCAGACCTGGGAGGCGTGGCATTGTGGCATAAGTCCCCTTGGAGGAGGCCACCATTAGCCCCACTGCAGAGCCACCAAGCAGACGACCCATAAACTGGAGAACAATTAAACCAAAGAAGTTCTCGTACTGTTGCAAAAGTTCTAGAGATCACAACAGATTTTCCAACCTGGGGATCAAACAAAGGGACTGAGAATTCCCAGGGAATTTGACTTTGAAGGCCAGTGGGATTTGATTGCAAAACTCCCACAGGACTGGGGAAACAGACTCTTGGAGGACACAAACGAAACCTTATGCACACCAGAACCCAGGAGAAAGGAGCAGTGACCCCACAAAAGACTGAGCCAGACCTGCCTGTGAGTGTCCAAGAGTCTCCAGCAGAGGCGTGGGTTGACCATGGCCTGCCATGGGCTCAGGGTCACTGAATACAACAGTCCTGGAAGCCATGGCATGCTGACTTAAGCCCTTTTGAAGGAGGTTGCCATTACCCCTACCATAGTTTGACCTCAGGCCAAACTACTGAGAGAGAACACAGCCCCACCCATCAATAGAAAATTGGATTAAAGATTTACTGAGCATGGCCCCACCCATCAGAGCAAGACCCAGATTCCCCCTCAGCCAGTCCCTCCCATCAGAAAGCTTCCACAAACTTCTTATCCTTATCAATCAGAGGGCAGACAGAATGAAAACCACCGTGAAAACTGCCACAGTTACAGAAAACTGATCACATGGATCACAGCCTTGTCTAACTCAATGAAACTATGAGGCATGCCATCAGTGTAGGGTCACCCAAAATGGACAGGTCATGGTGGAGAGTTCTAACAAAACATGGATAGATAAAATCCTTTGTTGGATGTTCTGTTTGCAAATATTTTGTCCCAGTCTATTTCTGGTCTGTAGCATCTCCTTAAGATTCTTCCACAGAACAAAAGTTCTAAATTTTTTATTAGGTCCAACATCAGTTTTCTCATTTATATATCATGCCTTTACTGTCAAGTCTAAGAGTTCTCTGTCTAGCCCATAGGTCTCAATTTTTCCTGAAAGTTTTGTAGTTTTACATTATGTATTTGTCTGTGATCCATTTGAGTCAATTTTTATATGAAGTATGTGGCATAAGTTGAGGTTTTCTGGGTTTTTTGCCTATGTATGCCTGTCCTATTGCTCTAGTACCATTTGTTGAAAAACTCTTATCCCACTGAATTACTTTTACACCTTTGTCAAAAATCATTTTGACATATTCTTATGGTCTATTTCTGGGTTTAAAATTGTGTTTCATGGTTCCATATGTCTGTTCCTTCCCTAATACCACACTGTCTTGATTACTGTAGCTATATAGTAAGACTTAAGTAGAGTGAGTCTCTCTCACTTTATTCTTCTTTTTCAATAGAGTTTTAGTTAATTTTGGGCTGTGCCTTTTGACATACATTTTAGAGTCAGGTTAATTGTATTTAAAAAAAAACCTTGGTGATATTTTGGTAGAAATTGCATTAACCTATAGATCAGTTTGAGGAGAATTTTATGATGCTAAGTCTTCCAATTCATAAATACACGTCTCTTCACTTCTTAAATATTCTTTGATTACCTTCATCAATAGTTGGTAGTTTATGGCTTACAGATCCTATGCTTGTTTTGTTAATACCTATGTATTTACATTTCTTTGGGGTAATTGTTAATGGTACATTGTGTTTCAGTTTTTAAAGGTTCATTATTACTATATAGAAATTGTAAATGGTTTTTGCATGTTGATTTCAAAAAGTTTTAAAAGGTAGCTTTTTACTACTGTATCCTTATTTCTGGTTTTTGTCTTAATCTTTAGGTGATCTGTAGAATTATCTTAGAGACAACTATAAGACATTAGAATTGTCTTAGATACCCAATATGGATAACTAATTGCAAGCACTCCTTCAAAAGTGGTAGTATTATTTTTATCTTACAGTTTTTACACTGAGCCTAAGAACTTGTGAAGCTAGTACAAGGCAAAGGTAGATTCAAATGCAGACTTGCACAGAGCTATTCCAATATGCTATGCCATTTCAAGGTTACAACAAAAAACTTTCAAGGGATTTACCTGCTGTATTTTGTGAGAGGTTATCCAAAAAGTGACAACTTGGCTAGAATTACTAGATGTTCTTCTTTCTGTCTCTTTAGACAGTGCACAAATATCTACTGGCATTTGGGTTCCATTTCCCCTACTAAGTGCTTTAAAAATTCTTTATATTTGAAGTGTAAATATTTACCAGATCAACATTCATTTCTTTATTTCCTCAGTTAACTACTTATGAAGCAGGTACTGGATATGCAGAGACGAGTAACACAGTCTTTGCTTTTAATTTGCTACAGTCAGGTAAAGAAGACTGATAGAAAGCAGATAAATAGAGTAGAGGGTGGTAAGCACTCTGATGGAAGTAAGTACATTTGCTACACGATAGTGTACTGCAGCTGGCATGTAGCAGCTTATGGGAGGAAAACTGTAGGAATATTTACACCATGAATTGAAATTGACAAATTCTGACAGGGCTTTCCTTTTTCCTCCCTCTCTCCCTTCCTTCCTTCCTTTTTTGTCTTAGGGAGTGTAGTTTACTAAAATACTACTATTTCTGTTGACAGAGAAAACAAGCTTATGGTTACCAGAGGAAAAGGGATAAATTAGGAGTTTGGGATTGAAATAAACACACTACTATAAATAAAATAGATAACCAACAAGGACCTAGAGTGTAGCACAGGAAGCTAGTCACCATCTTACAATAATCTACAATGAAGAAGTTTCAGATGTATAGAACAAACTTTTGGACTCTGGGAGAAGGCNACAGACAACCTCGAGGTCCTGAAGCAGATCAATCACCCCTACTACTTCATGGTGAGCTGGTTGTCCAGATTGTTCTTCCAAGTCTGGTACAATAGGAGTCTCTGTACCCCTCCCCACCCCCACCTAGCATACTGTGTAGTCTCTAGGTGAGCTACTTAAGAGCAGAGACTTACCTGACATTGAAGATGTGGCATTCCCCCTTCTCTCACCCAGCACCTTCTGTGATTTTTCAGGGAGAAATTATTATTAATGGTATAATAATCACTGTTTATTGAATCCTCACCATGTGCCTTTCATGCATAATGTAATTCAGTGCTCTGGAGTTGAATTCAGCCCACTAGGAGTATCACCATGGGGAATCTGAAACTTGAAGTTAAGATCCTTGACATCATCACATGAATGCAATATTCAGAATGAGGTCAGATTCCAGAGTTTTGTTACTACAGCCCCACCTTTCTGAAGGTACAGCAATGATGACAGTGATATGAGGTGTGGGAAAGAAACCAAGTGAAAACTGTGTATCCTGAGCAAAAATGCTTTTGAAAAGGAGTGTGTATCCAGCTACTGCTTATGGTTAAAGGCATGGGGGCCTGAACATCTGGCTTACACTTCCAGATAAATCCTATCACTTATTATCTATGAAGGGAGCCCCAGCTAGCCAGTTGACTGATACAGAGCTAGTTTTTCTTATCAGTGTAGAGGTAGAGTGGGATGACTGAGTCAGACACAATAGCCTACAGCAGAAAACTGCTCTGTGACCTCAGTCTTTTCTTGTCCCTGAATAATATCTCACTCAGATTCCATAGTTTCTCTATAGTCACTCTTAGATAATTTTTAAAGTTCTTTTTAATCACCAAGAAGCCTCAATTCAACATCAAGTGTCTTGTCCAGAGTAATAACCCAAACTCTAAACTGTCTTGAACATCAGAGTTTTAGTCAGAGAAACCTAAATGAGAAGCTTACATATTTTGGGTTGCTTTCTCCATGCCTCCAGCCTTACTGGTCCTTGTTTCTGACTTGATCAGGGTCAGGAGCAGGTATGAGGTAATCAGGACTATGGGCACAATCTCATAGAGCCAGTACTGCATTGAGGCCCTATGGTGGAATTGTCGAACTGCTTCTTCCTTCTTCCTTGGTGCCTTGGGCAGCATTCTGCAGATTACCCTCAAGGAAACCTTGGATGACGGGTCCCTTGGCATAGGTGAAGCCTCTCTACTTGTCTGTCTCTGTAATATCCTCCATCATGTATATATTATACATTTTTCTAGCATTTTTGTTTTTAAAAATTGGTTAGAGTAAACTTGTTCAGTATATAAAATTTAATCATTCTAAAATACATAAATTAGAAATCAATATATCCCTCCATAATCCTATCCCTCTAAACTAGTAATGTCTGAAAGTTGTCCCTTTGGGTATATTAAATAAAACTTTATTAAGTAAAACTTTTCAATTTAATATTTGAATTGATAATAAATTCATATGATTCAAAATTCAGAGAGTGGAAAGGATGTTAAGTCAAAAGCTTGTTTCTACACCTGGCCTGGGCTTTTTTAAAGGACTCAAGGTCAGTTTGTTCAGGAAGTTAAGGCCAATATCCATGGGCCTCCCTAAGCAACCCACAATCTGGATTAGAATATGCTGACTCAGATCTTGGCCCAACCCCTTACTGTGTGAACTTGGAAATGTTAGTTAACTTGTCTGGGCCTCAGTTTGTTATTTGTAAACTGGGGATTGAAAGTACTATAGTAGAAGCAATTTTTATCCAATATAATCCTGTCTGCTTAGCGATCTGTTAATTCAAAAAATTTAGATGAGGAATTGTGAAATAAATGATATGTGGTCTGTTAGCATTTTACTATGTTGAAAAAATCTATCTAATACTTAGTGGCTTAAAACTGACAAATATTTGTCACATTCTTTATGATGGTTGAGTGCTTTCTCTCGTCCCAGCTACTTTGGCTGGGCTAGGTGATCTAGGATGGCCTCACCCATATGTCTAGGATTCTACCTGGGATGACTGAGGTCTGTCTTCATTTAGTCACTCATCCTCGATGAAGCTAACTTGCTCATGTTCTCCTGGTGGCATTGGGTTCTCAGCAACAAGAGAGGTCAAGCCCCAATGCATATGCCTTTTCAAAGATCTCCCAAGTGTGATGTTTGCTAATGTTCCACTGGTCAAAGGTGATCACATGGTCGTCCAGATTTAACAGGGGCAGAGGAGAGACACACGTCACTTCTTGATGGAGAGGAACAACAAAGTCATATTCCATCCAGGCCTGCATTTGGTGAGAAATATTGTGGTCGTTTTTATAAACAATCCACCACATACATACCTCATACATTTAAAAATGCTTATTCACCTTTTGACAAAGACTCAAGGTCTTTCCTTTGAGGGCATTTTAGTTGATCGAATTCTGCATTCCATTGCTTATATATACTCTGAAGTGAACCAAGTATAATTTCTAAGTTTTGTTTCCTTTGGTTGTTATTCAGTCACTAAATCATGTCCGATTCTTAAAGTCATAGGGAGAATGAGGAATCCACCCAGATTTTTATAATAATCCCACCACCCCTAGTCTCTTACTGTTTCACTCATACCTAATTCATTTGCAGTTTTGTTTGTTTATTTGTTTTTTTAGGGCTGTGCTGGGTCTTCATTGCTTTGCAAGGGCTTTCTCTAGTTGTGGCAAGCAAGGGCCACTCTTCATTGCAGTGAGAAAGAAGGCTTCTCATTTCAGTGGCTTTTCTTGTTGTGGAGCGTAGCATCTAGGGCACTCAAGCTCAGCATCTGCAGTTCTCGGGCCCTGGAGTGTGTAGGCTTCAGTAGTTGTGGCGTGCAGGCTCAGTAATTATGGCTTCTGGGCTCTAAAGCATGCACTCAGTAGTTGTGGTGCATGGTCTTTAGTTGTTCTTCAGTATGTGAAAGCTTCCCAGAGCAAGGATTGAATGCTTGTCCCCTGCATTGACATGCATATGTGCTCAGTTCCCCAGTCGTGCGACCCTGTGAACTGTAGCCAGCCAGGCTCCTCTGTCCATGGGATTCTCCAGACAAGATTACTGGAGTGGGTTGCCATTTCCTCCTCCAGGAGGTCTTCTCAACCCAGGGACTGAACCCACATTTTCTGCACCTCCTGCATAACAGCAGCCCACCAGGCTCCTCTGTCCACGGGATCCTCTAGGCAAGAACACTGGAGTGGGTTGCCATTTTCTTCTCCACCATAGGGCATTAGGAGCCTTAGATTAGTGGAACTTGGTTAAAAGCTTCTACTGTACCTGCCTAATAGATCTGTTCAAAGGGTTGCTGTGCAAATACCCTTAACATGCTTGTAACACTTCCTTAGCTCCTATAAATGCTCATTAATGTTAGTTGTGCTCATCATTATCACAATCATTTGTGTTATTGTTGTTAATATTATTATCATTACTAATCAGTCCAAGAAAAGACCTTGTGATTGGGTGGAAAATGGCTTAAGAAAGAAAAAATCATGTCAGACTCAGTACCATCAAATAGTATTGGAGGTGAAATAATGAAGGTAGAAAGGGAGGATCAAACCAGAGAGTGTAAAAGCTCATGCAAGTGAAGCTAGAAGATGTAGCTTTGTGAAATGGGTGATTTATGCAAGGAGACTCAAGTAGTAGGCATGTTAGTCTTGGTTAAGAATTGTATTTTCAACATGCTTCTTTGAAGCACAGTGATTTAGGGGAATGATTCCTAAATGCTGGTTCATAGACTGATTACTTGTTTCTAGAGAGCAGAAATTCTGCTCCCTGAGTCTCTAATAAGGCCCAGAAACCTGTATTACTAAAATCTGATGCTCAGGTAGATTTAGATGCACAGCCAGGTTTGGAAAGCTGTGCCATGAACACATAGAGCACTGGAAGTCAAGAAACTTGGGCTTGTAGTCCTGGGTCCAGAATAGACTTGCTATGTGACATCTCTGGGACTCCCTCAGACCTCAGTCGAGGGTCCAGGGAGATGAAGTGTGTGGAGTGTTAGCCCTTGTGGGGCCCTTGGCACATGTAAGAGGGGATTGTTAGGATAGCAGTGGGTACCCTCTGTGTTTGACACCAGCTCTGGCAGTCATGGTTCCTCCCCCTGATCTGCCCCTGCTCCATCCCCGGTTCAAGCAAGGGACTTGACCCACATGAGCTACAGTCCCTTCCAGCTGCAAACTCCTATAACTGTGTTTTCTGTTTTGCAGACACCAAATTTCTATATGTTCATGTGGATTTTCTTGGATATTCTTTCTGCAGTTTTCATTGTTGCCATATTTTATTCTATTTGGTAAGCATTTATTTGTAATTTTAAATTTTTTTTTCCAAAAGTATGAATGGTTTTACAGAAATTTAAGGAAAAAAGTTACATTCTTCCTATAACCCCATGTGGCAAATCCTCAGGGAGACAGAGTTTTATCATCCTAACCTCCCATTTCTCCCCATGCTGCCTGCAGCTCCTCACACCCCTTCTTCCTCCTAACACGAGATCATATTCTAAGAATTAGGGCTCTCACTAAAGTTTAATCAAAGCCTGTTAATATAGATCCCGTGTGGATCAGTTGGGAGAGGAGAGGGGTTGAAGATTGTTCAGAACAAGTGCCTCCACCTTCCCCCCTTCCACAAGATGGGACATAGCAAGGTGCTGTGTGAAGGGCAAGATCACACTCCAGGAAGCCTGGGTTTTAGTCCTGGCTTTTCCTTTAGTTGCTGGGTGACTGTGGAAAAATCACTGCCCCTTTCCAGACCATAGTCTTTTTATCTGTCAAAAAAAATGACAGTTGAGAATTCTTGAGGGAAAATGCTACAAGATTACAAGGTTCAGGGCGGGGGAGGGGACATCTGGTAGAAGAATTTTAGCTAGAAGGGACCATGGTTCCTTAGACCTCATCATGCCCATCATTTCATCTGAGTTATCTTTTAAGGGGGGATGCTACAAACCCTCTGCCTAAGGTAGCATTTGACTGGGTAATGTACTTTTCTGTCCACTGCCTGTTATTATTGTCACTTTGAAAGAGGTCTGTGAGGCTCATGAACACTCTGCTTCCTTCTAGGTTGAGAGAAAGCCAGAGTGAAAAAATCCTCCAAGGTATCACCAGTTACACAGGTAAAGTCGGAGGCCTAGCACCCTCCCATCTCTTCATCCCTATCCATTGCCTCCAGGAGGCAGGGCCTGCCTTTAATGTTCCTGACAAGAATTGAAGGAGTCTAAAAATCAGGGGGTGGGAACCAGTGAGCAGCTGGGGAAAATAGGCTGGGCTAAGGGGCCCTTAACATCCAGATTCATTGTGGACTTTATCCTCTTAAGCAGTGAGACTCCTTGGAAGATTTTTAATGTGGTTGTTATGTGCTCTCTTGTTCATATATTCATTCATCACAATTATTATTGGCTACCCACTTTCTGTCAGGCACTCTGAAGTACCTGAAAGCTCTCTGTGGAGAGCGGTTCAAGAGAACAGAGCTCTGGCCCACAGAGAACCAGTGAGGAAGCAGGCAAAGGTAGAGCAGTTGACATCTGGCTCTGGCATCTAGGACCAGGACAGGGAAGCTGCCATGCTCATCGGGGCTGGATGTGCTTTATGTGGCTCCAGTTGTGATTACGTTGGAGGTTAGAAGGAGAAAATTGCTGAGATCCTGGATTCTGGACTAGAGTCTAGGCTCTGCATATAAACAATCAGGAAATGACAAATGAGTTTCAAACAAAGGAGCAATATACATAAACTTCTGGGTAAAAGGATAGAATAGCAGAATAACGTGTTATTCAGCAAAATAACTCAGGACTGAGTGAGATAGGTCCAGTAAGGAAAGGGAAGCTAGAGTTTGTTATTTAGGAGGTTGTGAAGATAGGCACATAGTGAGTTACTGGTTTGGGAAGCCAATGCAATGTCAAAGAGAAAACCAGTTAGGAGGCAGTTCATAACACAGTTTCCTCCCATAGCTCTTGAAGCCTTAAGTAAAGTTGGTACAGTCACAAAATGATGAATTAATTTAACTTCTTGTGGACAATGGTAAAGATCTTGAGTTGCTGTGTACCAGCTGGCAGTGTTCAATATATACATTACTTAGAGTTGTAGGAATGGGTCCATAGAGACTATGAAAAAATAAATTCAGAGCTTTGAAGAGCAGTGGTCTCTTCTACTATAAAGTTGAATGTTTTAACCAAAATGACTCAAATATCTTAAGATAAAGAATGATCTCCAGTGACTCTGTTTTATGGATTTTAAAAAGATCACTCTGCTGGCTATTAAGATGACTGAAGGCTGCGTTCCAGCTACCTTATGATTTTTAGTAGTTTATTAGTAAACTAGGGCTTCCAAAATGAAGTACCAAGGACTGGGTGCCTTAAACAACAGAAGTTGATTTTTCTCACAGTTCTGAATTATCGTTTACCTTAATATATGTGAGTGTATTTATCTGCTTAGGGTTTGCTAAATTTCTTAGATCAGTAAGAAAATAAATGTTCTGTCTGTATTTTTTCAAATATTTTTCTCCCACTGCTCTCTTTTTGGGGTTCCTATTACCCTGACCATTTATTTTTATTTTTAACCTATTCAATTTTAATTTTTTTTTTCTTTTGACTGCACCGGGTCATAGCTGTAGCACATGGGACCTTTAGTTATGCCTTGAAAACTCTTAGTTGTGGCATGTCAGATCTAGTTCCCTGCCCAGTGAGGGAACCTGGACCCCTGCATTAGGAGTGGGGAGTCTTAGCCACTGGACCACCAGGGAAGTCCTTTATCCTATTTAATTTTTATGCTTCTTTTTGGATATATTCTATTAGCATATGGTTAGTTTTTAATTGCTGTGTAACAAATTACCAGAAACCTAGAAGCTCAAAACAACACAAATTTATCATCTTACAGTTTGTGCAGGCCAGGAGTCCAGGCATTGTTTTGCTGAGTCCCCTGCATAAAGTCTCAACAGGATAACATCAAGATGTTGACCTGGACTGTAATCTCATCTAAGACACAGTCCTCTTCCAAGTTCCCTGGTCATTGGCAGAATTTAGTTCCTTACAAGTACAAAGCCACCTATGTTTTCTTAATCATTCCTGAAAGAGCTTTGCTCTAAGAGCCTAGAGACTACCTTCAGGCCCTAGTCATAAGGCTTTCTCANTTTTTCACAGCATGACATCTTAATTCTTCAAAGCCAGCAGGGAAATATCTCTCGTAGCAGATGGATTGAGGAAAAAGAAAACAAAGGAAGCAAAATGATACACAAAACAAATAGAAAACAAGTTGAAACATGGTAGTCATAAATTCAGCCATTTTATTAATTACATTAAATATAAATGAACCAACTTCTCAAAACATTTGTAGAAATTGTCAGACTGGATAGAAGCAGGACCAACACATATGCTGTCTACAAAAGAAATAGTTAAAATACAAAAACACAGAGTAAAACCAAAAGGATAGAATATAATATGCCATGTAAACAATAAGCCTCAGAAATAATATCTGAAAAAACTTCAAAGCATGGAGCATTGTTAGAAATAAAGATTTCATAATGATAAAATGGTTGATGTATCAGGAAGTCACTATATATACTTAATAGCAGAGCTTCAAAATAAAACAAAAGCTGAAAGAGAGAAATCATACTTAGAGATTTTAAGATGCTTCTCTCATTACCTGAAAGAACAAATAGGCACCCAAAAAATAAAATCAGAAAAGATATCTGAATACTTTCAGTGAATGTGACCTAATTGACAGAAGATATATTTAACAACTACAGAATACACAGCATTTTCAAATGTACATTGCTAGCCATAAAATGAATCTTATATAAGAGTTTGCTGATTTACCTCATGCAGAGGGAATTAAGCAAAATAAGGGGAGAGAGAAATATGTTCCAAATAAAATAACAAGACTAAATCTCAGAAAAAACTAAAGAAATCAAGATAAGAAGTCTACTTGATAAAGAGTTAAAATTAATGGTCTTGAATATGATCAACCAGGAATTCTCTACCCATCAAGAGCTGATGGAGAGATCAAGAGTTTCCCAGATAAACAAAAGCTAGATGAGGTTTATGACCACTAAACCAGTTCTATAAGAAATGTTAAAGGGAGTTCTTTAAGTTGAAAAGAAATGGCAGTAACTGATAATAGGGAAGCATGCAAAAGTAAAAATCTCACTGAAAAATGTACATGTATAATAAAGGTAGGAGATGGATCACTTATAAAGGAAGTATGAAGATTAAAAAAACAAAAGTAGTAAAAATGACTAAAATTACAATAATTAGGGATGCCAAAATAAGAAAATGTAATAAACTGTGTCATCAGTAAATTTCAAAAAAATCAAAATCACACACTTTGTTCTGTGATCACAAAAGGAATTAAGTTAGAAGCAATAAAATATCTAGATAGTCCTCTAAATACTTGAAATTAATGCATCTCTAAACAGTTCATTGATAAAGGGATGAATCACAATGGAAATTGGAAAATATTTTTAAAGGATAATGCCTATATAATGGCAAAATTTGTAGGGTACAGCATAAAGCCAAACCTAGAGGGAAATGTGTAACTTTAAATGTTAGAAGAAAGATTGTTAAGGTAGAAACTTGATCAATATATAACCAATCTTAAAAAGCTAAGTAAATTTTTTTCCAAGTAAAAGGAAGGAAATAATATAGATAGGAGCAATGAAATAGAAAAGACAAAAAAAACTTTTCAAAGTGAAAGTTTGTTCTTAGGAAAGATTAATAGGATTGATAAATTCTTGATAAGAGAAATTGATTGACAGTATGATGAATGATTAATGAAAGAGGGACTAAATCCAAATCCTAGAAATAAAAAGAAAAATTATAAACATTTTAAACCATTAAATTTGACAAGTTAAATGAAGTAGACAACTTCCTTGAAATGTACAGCTTATCCGAACTGAAAGAAGCTGAAATTTGTAGTAACTCACTGACTATCAGAATCAAATCTGTGAATCAAAAATCTACCACAAAGAAAAGTCCAGGCCCAACAAGTTACATTGGCTAATCAAATATTTGATAAATAATACCAATTTTATACCAACTCTGAAAAAAAGAGGGGCTGATTCTTTGAGGCCAGCAATAATCTCATATAAAAAATGTCTGACAAAGAGAGTACAATAACTAAATCCATAAATGAATATCTTTCATGAGCTTAGACATGAAAATCCTGAACAAAACATTAGCACATTGAATCCATCAGTAGAAAAAAGGATAAAATATCGGGAGCAAGTGAGGTTTATACCAGCAGTGTAAGATGAATTTATCATTTGAGAATTAATCAAATTAATCTACCATATTAATGAAATAGAAAAAGCATATTTGACAAAATCAACTATGTTCAAATCTCTGAGAAAACTAGACCTGGAATGAAACTTACTCAATCGAATGAGAGATATTTACACAAAAAACCTCCAACCAACATCATTTTTAATGGTGAAACAGCATTTTCTCTCTAAGATCAGAAATAAAGCGAGGATATCTCTTTTACTAGTGCTGTTTGGCATTGTACTGGAGATCCTAGCTAGTTTAGTAAGGTAAACAACAGGCATAAAGGAAGAAATGAAACTCCTGATTCAAAGATACGATTATTGACATTAAAAAAGTCTAAGGATTCAAACAACAAATCTACTACAACTGGTGACTTAAGCAATGCCTCAGGATATAAGATCAATATACAGAAAAACCAATTGTATGTTGATATATTATTAGTGAATAATTAGAAACTTTAAAAATTGAAATAGCATCATTTATAACAGCAAAGTTATAAATGCTGATAAAGGTCTGTCTAGTCAAAGCTATGGTTTTTCCATTAGTCACACATAGATGTGAGAGTTGGACCACTAAGAAAGCTGAGCACCGAAGAGTTGATGCTTTTGAACTATGGTGTTAGATAAGAATTTGTGTGTGTATGCATGTGTGTGTATATATGATTTTACTACTCTTTTTTTAAAAAGGTAGAGATAAAGAGAAATCCTAAAAGGAGCAAGCAAAGACCAGCTTGTTACACACAAGGGAAATCCCAAAAATCTATCAACAAATATTTTAAGCAGAAAATATACAGGCCAGAAAGGACAAGCATGATACATTCAAAGTCCTGAAAAGAAAAAAATGTTCAACCAAGAATTATCTACCCAGCAAGAGTTGAAGGGGAGAGATCAAGAGTTTCCCAGATAAACAAAAGCTAGGCGAGTTTCATCACCACTGAGCCAGGTCTGTAAGAAATGTTAAAGGGAGTTCTTTAAGCTGAAAAGAAATAGCAGTAATTGATAAGGGAGCATGCAAAAGTAAAAATCTCACTGGAAAATGTACATAAATGTATAATAAAGGTAATATAAGGATCACTTATATGAAGATTAAAAAACAAAAGTAGTAAAAATGACTGAAATTACAATAATTAGATATGGGTGCCAAAAATAAAAATATGTTAACTGTATCATCAGTAAATTTCAAAAGATCAAAATCACACACTGTTCTGTGACCATAAAAGAAATTAAATTACAAACAAATATCTAGATAATCCTAAATACTGAAAATTAATGTATTTCTTAACATTTCAGTAATCAAGGGGCTAGTCACAAGGGAAATTGGAAATTATGTTAAAGGATAATGCATATACTACAGCAAAATTTGTGGGGTACAGTTTAAAGTCTAACTTAGAGGGAAATTTGTAACTTTAAATGTTAGAAGGTAGATTGTTAAGGTAGACACTTAATCAATATTAAAACAATCTAGAATAGCATTGAAACATGTATATTATCAATTGTGAAACAGGTCGCCAGTCCAGGTTTGATGCATGAGACAAATGCTCAGGGCTGGGGCACTAGGATGACCCAGAGGAATGGGATGGGGAGGGAGGTGGGAGGAGGGTTCAGGATGGGGAACACATGTAAATCCATGGCTGATTCATATCAATGTATGGCAAAAAACACTACAATATTGTAATTAGCCTCCAACTAATATAAGTAAATGAAAAAAAATCTATAAACGTAAATTTTTCTCCAAGTGAAAGGAAGGATATAATAAAAATATGAGCAATGAAATAGAAAAGATAAAACAATAGAGATTTTTTAAACTTTATTTTTAATCTGAGGATAATTGCTTTACAACATTGTGTTGGTTTCTGCCAGACATCAACGTGAATCAGCCATAGGTGTACATATGTCCTCTGCCTCTTGAACCTCCCTCCCACCCCATCCCACCCCATCCCACCCCGATAGGTCGCCACGGTTTGCGCTCCCTGTATCATACAGCAGATTCCTACCAGCTGTCTGTTTACTACATGGTAATACATATGTTTACATGCTGCTCTCCATTTGTCACACCATCCCCTTCCACCACTGTGTCCACAAGTCTGCTTTCTATGTCTGAGTCTCCAAAACAATAGAGAAATTTTTTTAAAGTGAAAAGTTAGTTCTTAGGAAAGATAAATAAAATTGATAGATTCTTAGTAAAATGAATGAGGGAGAAAATTTGATTGCCTGTATGGGTGAATGATTAATGAAAGAGGGACTAGCTCCAAATCCTAAAAATATAAAGGAAAATTATAGACATTTTAAGCCATTAAATTTGACAATTTAAATGAAGTAAACAAATTCCTTGAAATATACAACTTACCAGAACTGAGAGAAATAAAAACAGAAATTTGAGGTGGCCGGTTAGCTCAGTTGGTTAGAGCATGGTGCTAATAAAAACAGAAATTTGTAATAACCCACTATCTAACAATCAAATCTGTGTATCAAAAATACAGCACGAAGAAAAGTCCAGACCCAACAAGTTTCACTGGTTAATCAAATATTTAAAAATAATACCAATTTTATACAAACTCAGAAAAAGAAGGCAAAGGAACATTTCCTAGCTGATTCTTTGAGGCCAGCAATAATCTTACATAAACGATATCTAACAAAGATAGTAAAAGAACTAAATTTATAGATCAGTTTCTTTCATGAACTTAGACATAAAAATCCTGGACAAAACATTAACAGATTGAATCCATCAAAATAAAAGAGGGTAAAACATCTGGAGCAAGTGAGAATTATACCAGCAGTACAAGATGAGCATGTCATTTGAAAATTAATCAAATTAATCTACTATATTAACAAAAACATAACTGACAAAATTTAACAACTATTTATGATCAAAGCTCTGAGTAAGCTAGGACTAGAATGAAACTTCCTCAGTCTAATGAGAGATATTTATTCCAAAACCTCCAGCCAATATCATTTTTAATAGTGAAACAGTATTTTCCCTCTAAGATCAGAAATAAGGCAAGGATATCTGCCATTTCTGTTTGGCATTGTACTAGAGATCCTAGCCAGTTTAGTAAGATAAACAACGGGCATAAAGGAAGAAATAGAACTCCTGATTCACAGATATGATTATTTACATTAAAAAATTCTAAATTCCTCTAAACCTACTAGAACCAGGAACTTAAGCAATACCTCAGGACACAAGGTCATTGTACAAAAAAACCAACTGTATGTTGATACATTATCAGTTAAAGGTTGTAAACTTTAAAAATTGAAATAGCATCATTTAAAACAGCATAAAAACATAAATAGGAATTTTAGGAAGATACTGTAAGCCCTTGCAAAGAAGATAGATGATTGGTCACTGAAAACTACAAAAGTTTAGTGAGAAAAAGAAGACCCAGATAAATGGAGAAACATAACACATTCATGCATTTGAAAACCTAGTATCATAGATATTGGATGTCATGGAATTAAATTATAAATTCAAGTGCAATAAAAGTCCTCTTTGCCTGTGAGGTTGACAAAAAAATGAAACTCATGCGTGCACCTGTTTCTCAAGACTGAAATTACAGTCAGGGCAAAAGTAACTGAATTCTGGGCTTGCTTTTTAGGATTTTAACTCTCTCCTAGATTTCAGTTCCACTGTTCCTCATTATATAGTAAATCCTTAGATAAATTTAAGATGTGTCCTTGGTTTTGTACATTATCCAGTTTTTAATTTTTCTTTCATAAGAATCTGTTTCCTAGCTGTGTTACTATAAAAAGTCTCCATTGTCTATTTTTTCTATCATTCAGTTAGGAAAAAAGCTGTATTTTGAGCAATTACTGTGTGACAGATACTCCTGAGCACTGTGTGTGGGGTGACAAGCAAGACAGAGTCTCTGTCCTTAAAAAGCTCCCATTTTAATGGAGAATGTGTTCATTTTTCTATTCAAACTGCTTTGGAAGGAGTGGTTATGAAATGCACAAACTTTAAGCACATGTTGATCCGCCTCCTGACGGCTCCCATGGTGAGTTAGAACCTCAGACAATAGACTTAAACTCCAGCACCTTGATGAATGGAGGGCCATAGCAGTCTTCCCAAAGCCTGGGCAGGGAGAGAAATAGGGGGAAAGAATATGAAATGGTAAGAGAGGGGCTGACGTTTTAAAGATGACTAGGATTTTGCCATGTGACCAGCAAAGGTTGGAGAAGTGACTTTGGAGGAAATTATGTTATTTTCTATCCCACAGAAACTCCAAGTGTAAGAAGTCTCCATGAAGAAGTTTTGAGAGTTGAAGAAACTCCTGGAGTTTAACCAAAAGTAAAAGGGAACATCCAGGCTCTAAATCCATTATAGCAGAGGCTCTCAAGGAAACCACTAAACCAACTATGCATCCCAAGGAGGATGTTAGACAACCTGTGGCCACATAGCTGGTCTCTGAACCCATCCAAGCACCCACTTCAGAGGCCAACAGAGAGGCCACCCTCCAAACTGCAAACTGCATTGCCTACCATGAAAGCAAATGAACCAACAATTCCCTCCATGGAAGACCCTCCTCCTGAAACATAACCACCACCACCACCCCCACTGACTCCTCCCAGTAATCCTCTTTTATGATGGTTTCTACATCCAGAATGCTCTTCTCCTTTGGGCTGTCTTCAAAGAAGAATTAGCCACAACTTGCCTCCTCCTCTTTCTTCTTCCTCTCTGGGCCCAGGGTGAACTGATGGTAGAGAGAGGTCAAGAAAGAAGTGCAGAAGATCCAGGGAGGCTCTCAGGAAAACCATTTTTGGTCTCACCTTCCATCTCCAAGTGATAAGCAAAGGGAAAATCGTGTGATCCTGAAGGGGAAGCTGTCCGCTCCCAGGTGAGACAGGATTTGTCTCATCCTAACCCTTCATAATATTCCCCGCTCAATGAGTAGCTGTGGTGAACATCAGCATGTAAATAAAGGCAGGGTGATGGGCATAACCCAGTGGCCTTTGGCCATCAAGGGAAACTAGAACTAAACTTGCAGTGTTAGAAACAGCAAGTTGCATTCCACCCATGTGACCATCACCTATTCACGCTCCTTCTGCGGGCCTCGCGTTCCCATGTATATGGTGATGAGCAGGGGCAGACACCACAGTACCTTCCCTGTGGCTCTGGTTTATCCTGGGCTGACGGTGGAGTCCTGTAAACATCAGTGGGGGATGGCTGCCTCGGACGGCCGCATTGTCATCCCAGAAAGCAGGGCTGTCTGGTTTGGGGTCTCCATTTCAACAACAGCCCCTCCACCCTCCCACACAGGCATCTGGAGAGAAGAGTAATAGCACTTCCTGTGGAGTGGCTTGTCACCTACATGCAGGTGACCCCAGACCCTTGAGTGTTTTAGGGCAAACGAGCTGGTCTGGCAAGGCTGAATATCAGGGGTCTAGAGGACAGATCACTGACATGCCTGTGGCGAGAGAATTCTCCCCCATCACTTCTCCAGGCTCTCATCCCAGCCACAGCCCAGAGGGATGCCCACCCCCACATCACACCTTCCCCATCTGAAGCCCTCACCCCTAGACCTGCCCAGGTCATATCCAGACTTGCTTGTTCCATCCTAGTCACAAAGTAATATTTTACAGACACCCACTGGACATAAGGATTAACCCAAGGCAGCATGGTTTCTGGGGTTTTTGGAGGTTTCTTGATGGACCAAGGAGATATTTCTGGCAGGATACAAGGGCCACTCTAGATCCACTGGCCCTAGGTAAGGCCCAGAAGCTGGTCCCCGCTCTGGATCTCCAGCCAACCACAATTAGGTCTCCACCTCCCAGGTTGACATCCAGCATTTCCCCTCAACCTACCCCAGGCCCAGCCTGTCCCGTTAAGCCCCTTTTAGTACACTATGGGCTCAGGCACCCCAACCCCCAAACCCAGACCAGCTTGATCCTGCACACACAGACCACAGAGAGAGTTATATAGGCCACTCCCTCACAGGGCCCTGTTCCTGGCCCCACACATTGCCCCCTCCCACTTCCCCCAGCAAAGACACTACCAGACCAGGAGATAAAACACAGGCTTTATGCCTGAGATCATCAGGGGAGATTTGAACAGCAGCTCAGCACTCACACTGTAATATTTAGAAGCAGTCTGTCTCCCTCATCCCAGCTGAGGCTCCTGGACTTAGGGCTATTAAGCTAGTTCCTTAGGTCTCAGGATAATCTGTTTGGTTGTCCCCAATATAGAGAACTAGGCCGTCCTCTTGGTTACATTTCCGGGCCGTGACCTCAAAAGAGGTCACATGGTAGGGCTAGTATGAGTTAAGAATGACATCAGAGGAGCACAGGCTTTTACGACTGGGATTGTCACAGCAAGCCAGGACTAGAACCAACCAGGTGCTTCAGGCTGAATGGAGGGAGTTCTACGTCCCGGCAAGGTCACCTCACTGGAAGAAGGGTGAGAGGCCATGGTGGTGCAGTCAGTGGTGGCCAGCTGGTTCAGCCTCCCTGCCTGGATAGCCAAGGTCTTCCCCTGGATGCAGAGGTAGCTGATGGTCCTGAGCCAGCTGCTTCCTAGAGAGTAGGCACAGGGCCAGAGCGACCTTCCCACTGTTCACTTGCCACTCCTGGAGCCCCGCTGTTTGCTCATGGCCGTAAGCATCTGGCTAATATAGGAAGTCAGCAGGTCATCCATCTTGTAGCCCTGGAAAGAGCAGCAAAAAGATAAGACAGAGCACCGAGGAGGACACAGCCACCCACTCTTACCCAGAGCACAGCTCCCAGGAAACTGCAGTGGACAGAAACCTGGGAAAGGCAGATCCTGCCCCACTCTGGGCTCAGCCACACAGCTGGAGGTATGGATTCATCCAGCCAGATATCTAGGGTTCTAAGTTGTTGTGATCCCACATTAAGATGCTAGTTTGTGGGTTGCCCAAATCCCTACTAAGAATAAACATTGGATAAGAGGTTGGAATGTCATACCTCATTGTTTGGATGTGTGAAGAATGGTATTAGGACTAGGATTGAAAAGATTAGGGCTAGTACTTCTAGTTAATTGGGATTAATGAGTTGTTCACAGGATATGCAAGTAGAAAACACCACTCTGGTTTAATGTGTGGTGGTGTATTTAGAGGATTTACCAGGGCATAATTGTTGGGATCTCCTAATAAATCAGGTGAAAATAGGACTAATACTAATTCTAGAACTAGTAAAAAGACACCTAGGATGTCTTTAATTTAGTAGGAATGAAATGGGATTTTACCTATATCAGATGATTTCTGTGGGATTATTAGCTCCTGTTTCGTGAAACATTAGTAGATGGACAGCAGCTACTGCTTCAATGATAAATGGAAGAATGAAGTGGAAAGTGAAGGACTGTGTAAGAGTTGCTTTATCTACTGAAAAACTGCCTCAGATCCATTGAGCAAGGTTTATACTGACATATGAGATTGCTGAGAGAAGCTTGGTAATAACTGTTGCCCACCCCAAAATATTTGTCCTCAGGGTAGTATAAAACCTATAAATGTTGTGGCTATAACTGTAAATAACAGGAAAACTTCAATGTTTTCATGTTTCTAGAAAACTGTAGGATCCATTATATAGACTGCATCCTATAGGGATAAATAGGCAGATAAAGAATATAGAAGCTCTGTTTGCATATATGTGTTGAACAATTCATCTGTAATTTACATCTCAGCAGATATGTGTAACTAAAGAGGTTATCATCTGATATGTAGTGCATTGCTAGAAACAAACCTGTTAAGATTTGTAAAACTAAACAAATACCTTTTAGGAACCAAAATTTCATGATGATGAAATGTTTGATGGAGCTGGAAGATCAGTGAATGCATTGTTAATAATTTTTATTAATGGGCATGATTTTTCAGTGTTGGTCATTAGTGCTCTTGTAGTTGAATAATAATGAGTTTTCATGTCAGTGGCCATGGTTAGATTCCATGTAAGAATAATGATAGCATACATTGTATTTTAAGTACTATTTTTGTAATTAGTTTTGTGGGGTTTTTTCTTCAAAACATTCATGGTGCATTTAAGTTGATTGTAGATGGTAATGTTGGAATTGTGCTGAATTTTCATGGATTTTTGGCGGGATTAATAGTGTTTGGATTTATTTGTTTTGTTGTTCAGTCACCAAGTCATGTCCAACTGCTTGCAACCCTGTGGACTGCAGCATGATAGGCCTCCCTGTCCCTCACCATCTCCTGGAGGTTGCCCAAATTCATGTCCATTGAATAAGTGATGCCATCCAACCATCTCATCATCTGTTTCCCTCTTCTCCTCCTGCCCTCAATCTTTCCCAGAATCAGGGTCTTTTCCAGTCTCTCAGCTGCTTGAATACTTTTTATACAGACTTTTGCCAGCAAAGTGATGTCTTTGCTTTTTAATACACTGTCTAGGTTTGTCACAGCTTTGGATTTATTTAAGGGAGATGTTAGTGGTGTTTGGGCGCCCTGGTGGCTCAGACAGTAAAGAATCCACCTGCAATGCAGGAGACCTGGGTTCAATCCCTGGGTTGGGAAGATCCCCTAGAGGGAGGGGCATGGCAACCAACTCCGGTATTCTTGCCTGGAGAATCCCCATGGGCAGAAGAACCTGGCAGGCTACAGTCCATGGGGTTGCAGAGAGTCAGACAGGACAGAGCAACTAAGCACGGCATTAGTGGTGTGTGGTTACACAACAGCTGTGGCTTCTGAGCAGATCCTGAAGTTTGGATCCCCAATAAGACTGTATTAGGAGCATTTTTTTCAGCTTTAATAACAGAGTTTTCAGTGGTATTTTATGTTTTAAAAGATGAGGAAGTGGAGGTTGTGTTTTAACTTTAATGGTTTGGGAGATTGGGTAATTCATGATGCAGGTGATTCTGGGTTTTTTTTAGTGAAGAGGCTATGGGAACTGCAGCACTATATAGTTGTGGTACTTGATTAGTTATTATTACTGGTTGATCATTGCATATTGGTGTTGTGGTTATTATGGAGACTACTTGTGGTAATTAAATAGAATTATGTTTACGAAGAGGGTGATGAGGAGTGAGGAAATATACCTTGATTAGATCTTTTTGGTCTGATACTAATGTAGAGATTTTTATCTGAATAAGGGAAGTAGTTTTTCGTAAAATATTTTCTAATCAACAGGCTGACTTCTGGTTTGTTGATAGATTTGAGTAGGGTAATAAACAGTGTATAATAATACTTTCCCTCTTAGGGAAAATACCCTAAGAGGTTGGAAACTGAATATATTTGAAGAGTAAACTTTAAATGCTATGTGTTATTATTAATTTCAAGTGCTAAGGTAAAACCTAGAATGGTTATGGCAAGGGAAGTTGGTTTTAGGTAATAAGGTATAGTTACTTGAGGGATTGTTGTTGGAGGGGTATTGTTGAAAATAAAACCAGCTTCTGATTAATAGACGTTTGATGAAACTGACTAGGAGATGATTATTTTCATTAATTAAAGTTAGGGTGGGATAGCAAGGTTGTCCTAGTAGTGCAAAGATGATAAGGTGAGTGCTGTAGACAGCTGTGAGGGATGTGGCAATTAGACTTCGCAGGATCAGGTGCTGGTATTGACGTGTTAGCAGTTTGGATTATCAGATCTTTAAATTCAGCAAGGAAAGGCATTCCTGTCAGTGGTAAAGGCAGTTGTGGTAAAGAGTATTGCTTTAAACAGGCCTCCTATTTTTATGGCTATTTTATGGGTTCATTATGGATAATGAGCCCAGAGCATATCAATAATATGACTTTAAAGAAAGCATATGTACAGATATGGAGAAATGCTAGGGAGGGTTGATTAATGCTAGGGAGGGTTGATTAATGCCAGTTGTTACTATTATAGGCCTAGTTGGCTTGAAATGGAAAAAGCAGCAATATTTTTTTTAACATTCTGGGTAAGAGTGCAAATTGCCATAAACAGTTATTGTTTGAATAAATTTATTATTTTATGTTAAATGATAAAAGTGGATGAGTTAGAAAAGACCTGCTACCACTACTGTGCTTGAGTGGAGCAGGGCTGAGACAGGGGTAGGGCCTTCTGATGCTGCGGGACTGTAGTCCTGGGTGGAGGCTAAGTTGGGCGGATTTTCCAGTTGCAACTAGTATGAGTCCTAGTAGGGGTAGATTTGAGTGATTTAGTTGGGGAATAGATTTGTTGCAGATCTTATGCATTTAAATTATCAGAAATCATGCTAACAAATCTGGTAGCTCCAATACGGTTATATAGAATTGCTTGTAGAGCAGCTGTATGTGCATCTGCTCATCTGTATCATCACCCAATAAGCAGGAAAGATCATTCCGACAAATGCTAGGGAGGGTTGATTAATGCCAGTTGTTACTATTATAGGCCTAGTTGGCTTGAAATGGAAAAAGCAGCAATATTTTTTTTAACATTCTGGGTAAGAGTGCAAATTGCCATAAACAGTTATTGTTTGAATAAATTTATTATTTTATGTTAAATGATAAAAGTGGATGAGTTAGAAAAGACCTGCTACCACTACTGTGCTTGAGTGGAGCAGGGCTGAGACAGGGGTAGGGCCTTCTGATGCTGCGGGACTGTAGTCCTGGGTGGAGGCCAAGTTGGGCGGATTTTCCAGTTGCAACTAGTATGAGTCCTAGTAGGGGTAGATTTGAGTGATTTAGTTGGGGAATAGATTTGTTGCAGATCTTATGCATTTAAATTATCAGAAATCATGCTAACAAATCTGGTAGCTCCAATACGGTTATATAGAATTGCTTGTAGAGCAGCTGTATGTGCATCTGCTCATCTGTATCATCACCCAATAAGCAGGAAAGATCATTCCGACCCCCTCACACCCAATGAAAAGCTGTGAAGGCTATTAGCAGTAGCAAGAATTAGTCTTGCGATAAAAGGAGTAAATATTTGAGGAATCCACTGACGTTAGGATCTGAGTGTACGTTTCACATTGAGAATTCTGTGGTGGATTGTGTAACAAATAATGCTGCTGGTACGAATATTGTTGAGAAGTAGTCTATTTTGAAGCTGAGTGATAATTTGAGAGTTTGGATAGTGATTCAGTATCAGTTTGAGATAATCATTCATGCAGGCCAAGAGATTATTATTGGGATTATACTAATAATAAAAGTGTATGAGATAATGGATATTGTCACTCTTATTGGTTGATATTTGTTATAATTGGTATTAATATAAATAATGTAACTCATGTGAAAGGAAAATTTATTACTTTTATTTGTAGTTGCACCAATTTTTTGGTTCCTAAGACCAGTGGATAACTACTGTCCTTTAAAAGTTTGAAAAAGTCATGTTACATGGTATTTTTACCATAAATGCATGCTAGTCATGTGAAGACATTAGATCAAGAATCAGATATTGCTAAAGCAGTTCTTACATACTTTCTTGGTAAATAAGGCTAAATCTTCTGTCTCTAGATTCACAATCTATTATTTTTTTAAAACTATACTTACAGTACAAGGGGCCTAAAATGACTTGGGGATATAATGATAGAAGTAGAGAGGTAAAATATGAAGTGTTAATGAGGGCATTTTCTTGTGTAAAAGATTATAAGATGTTACTAATGTAATGAGTGTATTTGCCTTGTTATATTATGATGAGTATGTATAGGGAGTATAAGGCAGTAATTACTATATTAATTCCCATTAGAGTAATTGTAATAGTCAATCATGAGAAGGATGCTATTACTACAAATATCCCTCCAATCAGACTAATGGCTGGGGTAGAGGTAATTTGTCGGACTTGCTAACCATCATCAGATAGCTGTTATTGGGAGGAATGTTTGTAGGCCTCGGGCTAAGGTTATTGTTTGGCTGTGAATTCATTAGTAACGTGAATTTGTTAAGCAGAATCACATGGATGATGCGAAGCCATTGGCAATTATTAGACTGGCAGCTCCTGTGTAATTCCAAGGAGTTTGGATAAGAATAGCTACAATAGCAAGTGCATGGTGGCTGGTGGAAGAGTCTGTGGTGAGTGATTTTGACCTGTTTGATGTAAGCAAATTGAACTGGTTATAATTATACGGATAATATGAAAAAAGGATATACTGTAAAATCTGTTAGTGGATTTAGTGTTGTTACAATTCATAATACACCACAACCTCTGAGTTTTAGTGATATGGCTGTAAGTACTACGGAACCTGCAATGGGGGCTTCTACACATGCTTTGGGTAATCAAAGATGAAGGCCCTAGAGTGGTATTTTTACCATAAATGCGTGCTAGTCATGTGAAGACATTAGATCAAGAATCAGATATTGCTTGAGTGCAGTAGTGAAGTGTTAAGAAATTTAGGGAGCCTGTAACATTTTGGATATAGTGAGAGAGCTCCTACTAAGTGTATAAAATAAAACATAAAGGCCTGCGTTAAGGTGTTCTGTTTGATTACCTCATCAGGTGATGATAAGTATTAGGGCTATTGTTGCCTCAAATAGAATGTAGAGTACGATTAATTCTATAGCAGTAAATGTTATGATTATGGTCACTCCCAGAGGTAGGGATTTCTGAAGGCTGTACCAGCTGAGCTCAGTCCAGGAGGCCTCATTGCTAACAGCTCTGCTGTTGACCTCAGTGGCCAAAGGTTCAATCTCTAAATATTAAAGGCACTGGGACATAGTTACTGAGTGGGTGGTCTGTTTCTCATCTCTAGATTAATAAGCCCATCCCCCAGACCTAATCTGACCTGACCTTAGCCCCAACCTGACCCTTGATCCTGACTGCAGACCAGGCGGCACACTCCTGTTTGTTCCGGGGACTGGGAGGATGGAGAGAAGGAAGGGCTGGGGAGCCCCCCAGGCCTGGAAGGAAGAGCTCTCACCAGTGACGTCTCACAGAGGAGTTTGCTCCCACGCACCAGGTTCCCAATGGTGATGTGGAAGTAGGTGTTGCCGCTGCTCCAGTTGGAGATCTTGGTGAAGGGGTGAGTGGTCAGGATGTCCTGGGGGGGCAGAGGGAATCTGAGGCTGCACATCTGGACCACCTGACCTCACTCCCCTCAGCTCCAGCCCACAGACACCACCCACACAAAGGACCTTGGGCCCTCAGACAAGGCAAGGAGCAAGAGGGTAGAGGCCAGCTGTGCCGTGGAGCTGCTGTGGGAGGCAGGCCTTGGTTGGGACCAGCTAGTGGGACAACCAAGGAAGCCCAGGAGGTTGTCACATGTGTGGGGCTGGAATTGGAGATTTTAAGAGGATGAGGAAACTGAAATGATGAGATGATCCAGTGGAGTTGAAGGAAGGAGACAAGAAGACACAGCCTTGTGGAACACAGTGTACCAGCCGGGTAGAGAAGCAGCCCAGGGAAGTGCCTGAGAGGGAGACCAAGGGAGACGCAAGGAAAACCAGGTAAGTGGGCCCATGGATCCAAGCGGAAGATGGTGGTCTTTGCCCCCTTCGCCAGCAGCCCCAGTTGTGCTCTCCTGTGTCAGTGGTAGGACCTGCTCAGCCCACACATCTGAGCATCAATTACCCCAGCACAGCCTGCCACCTGACCAATTGTGGGCAGAGAGCATTCTGGAGAGGGGAAGGGGCTGGTAGTGTCTGATGTTGCTGAAAGACCAAGTAGTAAAGAGTGGCATGGATTTCATAGTGAGGACTTCGTTAGTAACTCAGAGAGCAGTTTTGATGGAGAGATGAGAGGTAAGGAAGTAGACACAGCAAACATGGACAGCCTCTCAAGACATGTGGCCAGGAGGGTAGATGAAGTGAGGATATTGGTAGCTGACAGAGTGTCTTGAAGTTTGGTTCTGGTGTCCTTTATTAGAAGTACAGACAGAAAAGCCCCCCTTACCTGCTCTTCCCTGTCACTGCTCACCTTGGTTCTGGGATCAATGAGGCTGACCCCATACTTGTTGATGGCAATTAAGAGGATCTCAGGAAAGTTTGGCTCTGTAGTTTGCTAGTTAAAAAAAAAAAAAACACATCAGATGGGGAACCCAGAGCAGGAAATGTTTTGTACATCTGGGGAGAAATAAAGCTGCCCCAAGTTGGGCTTAAGTCTGCCTCTCCAGCCACAACCTCAAGTTTCTGCCTCTTCTGGGTCCTCAATGCTACCCTGAATCCTTTCATGGGTCCCCAGCAACCGGCAAGAGTTTCATCCCTTCTGTCCTCTTCTCTACGAGTCCCTCTATCTCAGCTCTAAAGTCTCTCGTCTTTAAAAAGATCTCCTTGAACCCTATACTTGCCTCCAGATGTACTTGCCTACCTCTCCTTGCACAGCCCTCTCTTCTCCATTCTCCTGCCTCTGGTCCCATCAACCCTGTTCAAAACCCACGAAGGCTGGGCACCATCTCCAGGAGGAAGCCTACCTGCCTCTCACCACAGTCTGCTCGCCTCACGCCTCATGCCCATCCACACTCACCCACTTGCACTTCCTGCCCATGCCTGAGCTCTAACACTTCTGGGTCTTTGCTTAGGCCAGACTGTCTGCCAGGAACACTGCCCCCAGGGTCTCCCTGGAGAGCTCAGGTGTTGCCTCTCCCAGGAAGCCTTCTCAGCCTTCATAGTCTGGTTGGGCCTCCCAGACTCTGCCACCTCCATGAGGGCTCCCCACTGTCACAGAGCACAGATCATCCTCTATTACTCTGACCTTTGTACACATCTGCCTCCCCTGCCACGCTAGGGGCTGGCCGCTCAGTGTCCTAGGACTGAGCCCAGGGCCCAGTACTTAGCTGAGACACCTAGCTGGGACAAAGCTGAGAGTCATTTCCTCCTTTCAGTGCCAGGCAGGTGGCAGAGACCACTGTAGTCTCCGCAAGTCATGGGGAGGAGTCCTGGTAACGTGGTTCCCCTCCCCCTCTCAGAAGCACCCACCCACAGCGTACCTTCACCTCAAAGAAGGCTGAGCCGAAGGTGGGCCACTTGAAGATGAGCTTCAGGAAGGCCAGCTTGGCCTCCTCCTTGGACTTCCCCGCGTGCTTGTTGAAATAGGCGACGATGGACTGCAGAGGGAGGGTGGGTCAGAGTCCTCTCCCCCGCCAGTCCTGCCCCCTCTGCACTGTCAGCAGCTGTCATGAGCCATGGAGGGCCAGGCAGTCTCCCACTAATACCAGTTAATGGACTCCTGGCAGCCCTTCCCTCCCCAAAGCAAGCAGGTCAAACACTATCGAGGAAAACCAGGTCACCTTAGTAACCAGGACCAGACAAATTGCTGCGAAGTGACCAGCTGAATTTACAGGGGTCACAAGAGATACTTCCCTGGGCTGCTGTCCAGCACCTGCCCCTTGACCCTGGGGTGTCCAGAGACCCATTTGAAGGGGGCGGGGGGGCTGTTCCCACCGTCTCCCTCTGTGCTCACCCGCTTCCAGTCGTCAGGTGAGACCTGCCGGATGAGGTCCTGGGGCACCAGCTCCCGGAGCAGCTTGGGGATACTGGGGAAGTAGGACTTGTCCTCCTCGAACTTGACCCTATAGATGAGCGCCCCCAGCTGCAGCACCTCTTCCCGCGTGCACTTGTGGTAGCCTCGGAGATACTTGGGCAACTCCTGCCAGAGACAGAGAAGGTCACAGGCGTGGAGGCACCTGAAGGAAGCAGGCTTCTCCCCTTAAACACCCCACACCATGAGGCTGGGTCCACCTGCTCCCCAATGAGGGAAGGCACAGGACAGGGAAACAGCCTTAGGCCACACAGATGCAGTGCTTTACAGTTTTAAATCAGAGCCAGGGGTGAATATTATCTCATTTACCCTCATAACAGTCCAGTGAGGCAAGCAGCTCCATTTCAAAGATGAAGAAACTCAGAGGGACCAGCTGGGGTGCCTGAGACTGTTCCATAACTCTGGCCCCCGCACCAGGCCTATCCTTCCTTGGGAAAAAGCCTCTCTGGCTAGCTGCCTCCTACTGTGTTCCCTTGAGACCCACTGGCTTCCTCAGCAGCACCAGCCCCTTCCCCACCTTGAACTTTCAGACCCAGAACCACAGTAGCTGAAGATGAGCTGACCAAAAGCAAAGATGAAGCCTCTAGCGCTGCCCACAGGCTCCTGGAAACTTAACAACTGTCTTATCCACTCTCTGAAGAGTAGGGAACTGGGATGGCCTGAAGACACACCGCAGAGCAGGAACTACCCACCCACTTTCGGTCTGCCGAGCAGGTCTCTGCTTTCACAGTCAGCACCCACGGCGGCAGCTCAAGCACAGCCCGGAGCCACTCGGCAGCTCACCTGGTAATAGTGGAAGATGGAGTCGGCCATGGGGTCCTTCCCAGGCACCGTGGTGGTCCACAGCTTCTTCATGAAGAACACTTGGTAGGTCAGCGAGGGCACGACTCCTGTGGCAGAGGGCAGGCGGTCACCCAGAGGATGCCAGCACAGAGGGCTGTCCAGCCCAGCACCAGCCCCGGAGGAAGCCCCAGCTCGGGGCCCCACCCACATGGGCCTCAGGGATGGCCCTCAGCCAGCACCTGCCAGCCCCAGACCTCAGACGATCCCAGGACTCAGCCTCACGTTACCATCCCTGACAGGCCGGGCCTTCTTTATCCAGTCCGTCAGGTGTCGTACAAAGTCGAAGAAGAAGTCGTTCTCGGGGACGCTGATGACCTAGGGACATGTCCACTCATTTTAACTTGAGAAAAACTGAATTCTCTGACTTTCCCACCCAAGGCTTCCGTGGCAACCCCTTCTCCAGAAAGATTCCTGCTTGCAGCCAGGGTGGGTGTCTGTGGATCAGCCCCATCTTGCCCCAGTTTTGCCGGCTGAGTGTCCGGCCAGTGACAGTGACTCCACTCATTCAGCAAAGAGTCACTGATCACTGCCCTAGGACCCTGGGGGGAAGAGGCTGAGGTGGGGGCCCAGTCTCTGGTTTGGACATTCTCTGGCATCCGTTTCCTGAGCCACCCACAGACTCTAAGCCCCTCCCGCCCAGGTCCAGGACCTCACTGGATCACTTTGGGTCACAGTGTCTGGTACAGGGTCAGACCAGTGAGGAGACAGTCATGAATGCACACAGAACTGTGGCTGAGCAACAGAAGGGAGCACCTGACCTGTGCAAGGGTCAGGGAAGCCCCCCAAAGGAAGGGCTTTAGAGCTGGACCTTTGTCCCCCCCGTATTTATGTCCATGGGGGTCAATGAGGGGTGGAGGCAGGGCCCTGCACTTCAGAGCCAGACCCACCTGGTGCTGAGTCCCTGCTCTGTGATCTGGGAGAAGTTACTTAACCTTTCTGAGCCCAGGGACTTGTGATCTACTAGTGGGGATAATCACCCTCTCTCTTCAAGGGCTTTTTCAGAGGCGAACCGACAGCCTGGCAGCTGAGGGACCAGTCAAATCAAATCTGGAAAGTCCATGTGTGTGGGGCAGAGTGAGGAGCCTAGTGTGTCCAGAATACAAAGTGCCATGTGGCCCCCAAGAGATCTGTAGCCAGCCTGTGCCATGGCTCAGAGGAGAGAGAGATCGGGACAGCGGCTCCATGGAAGGGGGCGCTGCAGGGATGTAAGGAGGAGGCCGAATCAGAGGCTGTGTGCAGGAGTGCCTCTTCTTCCTTCGCCCCATCCTTCCTTCTGTCTCCCTACCCCCGCTGTCCCATACGCTCCCAGAGGCCCAGCAAAGTTCTCAGTAGACACCCCAACAGCAGGTAGATTAGCATCCAATGGCCACCCATGACCCACCTTATCTGCAATTTTGACAAAGAGGCTGAATCCCTCGGAGGACTTGAGGAGCAGCCGGGCGGCGATGTTCTGGCAGAAGTCCTTGGCCTTGGTGCTGGACTCCACCTCGAAGGCCTGGTGCAGAGAGGCACTTGCTTGGCTCTGGCAGGGCCTCCTGCACCCCTAATGGCTGGGCCTCAGATAGAGCCCCTTCCCATTCAAGACACCCTCCTTCTGAGGGGGCTTCCACAGAGCTCAGCACAATGCTTAAGTGTACAAACTACTGTGTATAAGATAAACAAGCTACAAGGATATACTGTACAACACAGGGAATATAGCCAATATTTTATAATAACTATAAGTGGAATACAACCTTGAAAAAACTGATTCATGGGCTCCTCTGGTGGCTCAATGGTAAAGAATCTGCCTGCCAATGGAGGAGGCATGGGTTCAAACCCTGATCCGGGAAGATCCCACATGCCTCGGAGCAACAAAGCCTGTGAGCCACAACTACTGAGCCTGTGCTAGAGCCCAGGAGCCACAACTGCTGAAGGCTGCGTCCCGAGAGCCTGTGCTCTGCACCAGGAGAAGCCACCACGGTGACAAGCCTCTGCGCCGCAACAAAGAGCAACCCCCTCTCGCCGCAACTAGAGAAACGTCTGCGCAGCAACGAAGACAGAGCACAGCCAAAAAAATAAATACAATTAGTTTTAAAATGGTGAATCACTGTGTTGTACAGCTGACACTCATAATATTGTACATGAGCTATACTCCCATTAAAAATAAATTTAAAAAAAAAGAGAAAGCAACTCCTGTCTGGATCTTCCCAGTTGGTGCCCTTCCCACCCCTCCAAGCAGTTCCAAGCCTTGGCCTCCAGGGTCCCGGGTGTGGCTGTACAAGCATGAGTGATGGTGGAGGCCAAGGAAGTGCAGGAGAGACGGGGGCTGTGGAAGAAAAGAGACCGAAGGAGGGAGAAAACAAACTCCAGAAAGGTGAGGCGTCACGAGCGGGGAAGCCGCCCCAACAGGCTGAGAGGGATAGGAGAGTCCGGGGAAGTTTAGAAGAAGGAGAGCGGTTTAGAGACCGAAGGAGGGAGAAAACAAACTCCAGAAAGGTGAGGCGTCACGAGCAGGGAAGCCGCCCCAACGGGCTGAGAGGGATAGGAGAGTCCGGGGAAGTTTAGAAGAAGGAGAGCAGTTTGGGGGTCGCAGGGGTTGTGGGGGGGGGGATGTTTCATGTAAGCCTCCACTGGGGACAGGAGAGGATTTTAGGAAGATTTTCTGGCCTTGTGTCTAGAATCCTATAATAGTATTTCTGTGTCTCTAGTTTCTAGACAAGTTTTTAAGCTGCTTTTCAAACCAAAAGTTTCAATGTTGGTCTTGTTTATCTGAATGAGATGCTGTGCTGGGATGGGGAAGGGGGTACAGATCAGAAGTCAGCCTGACCAAACAGGTGTGACAAGAAGACAAATAAAACCTCTGCCCAGGGAACCAAGGTAGAGGGCACTCACAGGTCAAGTGACAAGGAGGGAAGGGGTCTGCAGGAGAGTGGACTTAGGACAACAGGGGCGGTCTGGGGCTGTGGAGCAGGCAGGCCTGTGCCCAGGAACAGAATGGGCACCGGGGAGGTGGCATCAACACAGAGCTCAACTTGGAGGGAGAACGCACGTTTCTGCAAGACAGGCTCCTCAGAGAAAGCGAGGTATGACCTTGTCAAGGAAGCTAATCCAATTAGTGAGAGGCTAGACCAGGAACCCAAGGGCTCCTGACTGGAGGAGTCTATGGCCCCAACTCCACTGAAGGGCAGGAGATGGGGGCAAAGATGGGGGCGATGGAGAGGCATCAGGGCTGCCCCATGTCCCTTACCTCGTCAGTGTCGTCAGGAAAGTAGACCTTGTGGAAAATCTGGGTGGTTTTGTGCTGGATGGCTTCCACCTCCACCAGGTGCGGGGGGTACTTTCGGGACCCATTTCTGAAAACCAAGCAAGGGGGAGAGGGGCCAAGTCAGGAGGCAGCCATGGGAAGCAGAGAACAGGGGGAACTTCAGAGTCAGGCAAAGCCCAGTCCTAATCCCTGTCCACCACTTCCTACCAGGCGATAGTCACAAACTCAAGCCTTTTGTTCCTCATCTGTAAAACGAGATGATGATGGTACCCACCAATAGGTATGTGGAGGGGAACGAATGAAGCAAAGGATGCAAGTGAGCTCTGCAGAGTATAGAGTGCAACCCAGGTGTCTGCCTCCCCAGCAGACTTGACGGTTTTAGAAAATAGCTTTCTGAGCAACCAGACTCTCAAACTGTCTGGAATGGGTACTAGGCACGGCAACCTTTGTCTGCTGGGCAGCTCTGGGACCCCAAAGATGGGTCCCAACCGCTGATGCTGAGGTCATCAGCATCACCAAAGGACTCGTTTCTCAAGCCCATGTGGCTGGAAGCCCATCCCAGTGCCCACACTGTGCCCGCTGCGCCCCCCCCCCCCCCCCNTTAAGATTTCTTTTTTCTTTTTTTTAGTAAGACTTTCCTACGATGGAAGCAGTATGTGGTTTATTCTGGCAGGAGATTTTTAACTCATCTGTTACTTGAAGCAAGAGACACAGTTTTGATCCCTGGGTCAGGAAGATCCCTTGGAGGAAGAAAATGGCAACCCACTCCAGTATTCTTACCTGGAGAATCCCATAGACAGAGGAGCCTGGCAGATTATGGTTCAGGGGGTCACAAAGAGTCAGACACAACTGAGCACAATGAGCATGATTACTTGAGTAGCACTGAGTTAGACCAGCCCCAGGGCTCCCTCATGCACTCCCCTGAGCTCCTTCAGCCTGGAAAGAGGGAAGCTTGGAGGGCTTCCAGAAGGAGGTGGCATCTGCTCTAGGCTTTGAAAAGTGAAGTAACTGAGTCGTGTCCGACTCTTTGTGACCGCATGGACTGTAGCCTACCAGACTCCTCCAGCCATAGAATTTTCCAGGCAAGAATTCTGGAGTGGGTTGCCATTTCCTTTTCCAGGGGATCTTCCTGACCCAGGGATTGAACCCCGGTCTCCCACATTGCAGGCAGACACTTTACCTTCTGAGACACCAGGGAAGGATGAGGCTTTGAAGGATGAGGCAAATTCTAATATGCAGAGGATGTGAAAGGTTTTCCTGGCAATGGGCACAGCATGTACAAAAGTGTAGCTTTGTGAAAAGATCTCACACGTGGTCTAATGGTGGATTTGTGTAAGAGATGGAGTGAGTGACAAGGCTGGGGAGGGAGTTGGGAGCCTGGGAATTAGGGGAGAGGGTGGGGCTTGTCTCTGGCTCTGAGATGAGCATGTGCGTGACTTCCCCCTCCTGCCACTGTCTGACACCCTCTGGGGTCTGACAACCCCAGCCCATGAGAATTTTTAGCCAGAGCTTCTGACAGACAGTCTGCTCAGCCTGAGTGAGGGATGGGACAACTGCTCAGGAGATGCACATGCAGACAGACAGCAACATCTGGGCTGGAGGCAGGTATCTAAAGGAGGGTGTCCAGGCAGAGGGAAGCGGGAAATGAGGAGCTGGGACTGTTCAACTTGAGGGAAGACAGGCTCCAAAGGTACAGCCACCACCTTTGGTTCTTGACCCTCCTCCATGGACCTTGAGGAAGAGCCCCGAGGACACGTTCCTGCTCCAAGTGAAGGAGGATGGCTCCCAGGCGGAGCCGCCACTGCCTCAACAGGGAGTGAGCTCCCCGTCTTACCTTCAGCTGTTATCTCCAGGGTGGGGGCCTGCCTGCACCCTCCCACCACCCTGGCTAACCTGATGTGGTTGTCGGTCAGCTGCTTCAGGATCTGCACATACACCTCGTCCTTGAGGGGCTCAGCCTTCAGGGCTCCCTCGAAGATCTGGTCGGTGAGCTCATTGACGGAGCGCATCCTCTTGGATGGGTAGTCACCCATGTACTTGAGCACAGGTGGGGAGCCGTCAAGGAAGGCCGTGGCCAATCACGGAGCACTAGCCCAGGAGGCAGGCAGCCTCCTCCTCCTCTCCACCAGGGTCTGCCCCTCCCTGACCCTGTGGCCCTGGCCTCAGGCTGCTCACCCAGGAAATGGGCATAGTGTGCCCACACTGTTCTCCATGACCGCTGCCCACCCTCTCTCCCCAGCTCCTCTGGCCACTCCTCATTGGCCATCCTGCTCCAGGCCCCAACCTCAGAACAAGAATCCTTACAGCACCCAGAATCAACTTTCCAAATCACAAATCTAACTGTACCACTCCCCTTGGCCACAGGACACAGTCCAAGCTTCTTAACAGACCTGGGGAACCTTTCATCCATCGGCCCAGATCTTTGAATTCCCTTCTGGAACTCTACGCTCTAGCTGTGCTGAGTTAATCTATGTCCTTGAAACAGCCAGGCTCTGTTTTGCCTCAGGGCCTTTATGCATGCTTCTCCCTCTGTCAGGAACATTCTTCACCCATCTCCCCTTGGATGGGCCCAGGTGGGTTTCCAGCCTAGATGTCATTTCCTCCAGGAAGCCCTCCCTGCTGTCCAAGGCCAGGTTGGGCCACTGTGCTGTCGGGCCCCATCACAGCACTGACCCTGACCAGCATGTCTCCTCTCTCAATTACAGGCACCATGAGGCCAGAGTCTGCTCACCCCTGTGCCTCCATGCCTGGCCCAGCACACGGCACAGTTATCCCTGCTGTCCAAGGCCAGGTCGGGCCACTGTGCTGTCGGGCCCCATCACAGCACTGACCTTGACCAGCATGTCTCCTCTCTCAATTACAGGCACCATGAGGCCAGAGTCTGCTCACCCCTGTGCCTCCATGCCTGGCCCAGCACACGGCACAGTTTAAATCTGTCACCCAATGACAGGGTGTGAGGGGGCCACCCCGTCAGCATCCCCCCATGTCTGCCCAGGCCCCAGCAGGGCCCCTCGGAAGAAAGTAGGTGATGAAAACCCTAGAGGCCCGGCCTGGTCCCACCCTCCCCTGGGGGACCCCTCCCGGTGGCCCCTGCCTGCCCTCCACGTCACCCCCCACCCACTGTGGGTGCGGATATCAATGAAGGCCATGCAGGCCTCCTGCGAGAGCTCCTCGCTGCCCAGGATCTTCTTGAGCAGCGCCTGCTTGAGCGGCTCCCGCGTGTGGTTCCACAGCCGGTCCTTGCCGCGGGCCTTGGACACCATGACGCGGCTCAGCGTGTGCTTGGGCGGGGGCCTGTGGAGCACACCCAGTCGGCACTGATGGCCAGGCTGTAACTCCAGCTCCATCCTGCCCCGTGCAGGAGGCTGAGCATAGGGAACTGGCCCTGTGCTTCCCCACTGTCCCCTGTGACCTGGGGTGAGTCACCAGCTCTGCCCAGGCCTTAATTTCTCAGCTGACAAATGCAGACACTAACAAGGCTGGCTGAGCCCCGGCCAGCCCTGCCTGCCTACCCAGCCTGCTTACCCTGGCTGCCCTCTGCTCGGGCCATGGCATGCGTTGCCCTGGCACTCCTCCACCCAGCAGCCCAGACACCACTTCCCCCAGGAAGCCTCCTCTCCATCTCCACCCCACCCAGCATCTCCATCACAACACCGGGCACACAAAACAGCAGCTGCCTGGTTTCACGCCTGCCTCCCCACCAGGACTGTGAGTCCATGAGGCAAGAACAGGCTCGCGAGCTGAGTGCCCAGGACTCCACCTCTTAGAGCAGCACAGTCACAGGATCTTAAATGAAGGCAGGATAAGATGACATGACATGAGAAGGGTCACTTCGATAGCCTGAAACTGCCCTCTGGCTCCCTCTGACCCGGGCCCTTCTCACAGGTGGGGGCACCACAAAGTGACCCCACGACGCAGATCAGAGAGTAGCAGAAGCCTGTAGTTCCCGGTCCTGTCTCCCCTTCCCCCATCACCTGAAGTAGTCATAGGAAAACTCCTCCAGCGTGTAGGGCTTGGCGCGCACCTCGGGCTCTGCCGTTCGCAGCTGCAGGAGTCGGATAACGTCCTGCCTCTGGTCAGGGGTCATGGTGACCAGGGCCTAGAGACCAAGAGATGGGAGCTGAAGTCAGCTCTCCAACTGGGGGCCCTGGATCAACATGGTAAAGCCCAGAGCCTTCTTGACTGGGGCTGGGGAAGACGGCCTTCATGGGGGTGGGCCCTGGGCCTGTCTGACCCTGGAGCCCCTTTCCTTCTGGGGAATCTCTGATGTTACCACTGCCTCCATCATGCTGGGCTTAAGACCCTTCCCTCAGTGCCCTGTCTGAAGGAGGGGGGTCATCAGAAAGCCTGGACAAGGCCATGGATGCAATGTGAGAAGTAGCTCAGGAACTGCCTGGAAAGCTGGGTTCCAAGTCCTCAGTGTTGGCTGGGGGGATGGGAGGGGGGGGGTTCCAGAGGAACCAGGGCCTGCCTTCCCAGCTCTGACCTCACTGCCTTTTTAGCTAGTGCAAGCCCCATCCCCATTCTCCTATCCCCTAGGCCACTCTCCTCTGATCCCCCAGCCCAGGCAGGTCTTTATCTGAAGCAGTTTCTAGGCTCCTCTCCACCTGGTACCAGTTTAATAGTTGCCCCAACTTTTCAGTCTGTGGTCCCATGAGACCCCCGATCATCTTCATAGAAGCTGCACAGCATGAATCTACGGTAACCCCCCACTCTTATTTTATGATGTGGGAATAAGACAAGGAGGGGCCAGAGGAGCCTCCCATCCATCTACCACCCCCAGCCAGGCCACATACCACAATCTCCCTCGGTGGCATAGTGACAGTAGGCATGACATAAACGCAGTCAGTGGGGAAGTCCCCACGCTGCTTGGTCCTCTCGTTGATGCCGCTGGCCCAGCCCGAGTTCATCACCTGTTCGCCCGTGTCGTGGTCCAGGATGAGGAGGTCCCCCTTGGCGAAGCTGAGGAAGCCAGACTCCTCACCGGCTGGAAGGCAGAGATGGGCGGGGCCGCACAAGTGTCGAGGGAGGGGCAGAGAGGTCAGAGATGGGTTGGAACACCTTTATTTGGGCTGATGATCTATAAGCCGCTCCTCCCCACTGGAACTGAGGCCCTCTCCCTCTCAGATCTTCTCAGGAGCCACCTTGCCACAACCCTCTACACACACACACACACACACACAGTCATTGGTCAAAAGCCTTTCGTGGCTCCTCACTGGCCTAAAAGAAATTCCTCGACAGATTCACAAGGCCTATTGCTGGCGACCGCCTTCCTGACTTCCTCTGCCTCCCGCTTCTTGCCCCTTCTACCTTTCCTCGCCCATTTCAGCCAAACCGACCTATCTGCGGTTCCCAGCCTCCAACCCGGGCTCTCCAGCCTCTGTTCCATGATCCTCTCTGCCCCAAACATTCTGCTCACACAGATGTCCTCCCTGAACCCCAGGCTGCATGGGGGCCACCCCCCCACACCCAGGTTCCCATAGGCTCTGAGCTTCCCAGGTCACCGCTCTGTCACAGGGACTGTCACGGTCTGCTCCCACCCCCTCCCCGTGATGGCAGGGCTGGGGTTCATCTCTTTCTCGAGCCCTGCCCAGGACCTCAAAGGCCTACGGACCAGGGATGCATGGCTTATAGTTGCTCTTGCTGTCATCACTTGAAGATGGTATTTGGGGAACACTGAGGAGGAGTGTTCCCCTGATCTCATGTGGAGAAGGTGGCAGGTGATAAGTATTTAGGATCAGGGGAAGGAAGGTTTCCCACAAGGCACAGAGGGGAGCTGTTTGGTCCACTTGGCACAGCAGGTGTCTGGGGAAGGCGGAGTAACAGGCACTCGAGGTCTTGAACACCAGGCCAAGGCCAGGGCATGTGATCTACCTAACACCCTGACCCAGAAACTGGCGGCCGGTGCCAGGAGCCACTCACCGGGGTTGGGGTTGTCCTGTAGGGCCACCACATACTTAGACCTCTTCCGGAGCCCCTCCAGGAAGGTGACCACCAGGTCACGGATGTCCTCGGCATTGCTGGAGGTGAAGGTGTACTCATCCCCCTTGATGGTGGCCAGCGTGAAGCTGGGGGCCACCAGCTTCGCTCCCCTGCAGGACCAACACGGAGAACAGGGCCCCGTCGGGGTCAGTCCGGCACAGCCCAGGTCAGAGCAGCCCAGCGAGAGCAAGACACGGCACTCCCTGAAGGAGACCAAGGCCAGCCCAGTCAGAAGCGGCCTGTCCCAAGAGAGGCCAGCCCGGCCAGGGTGACAAAGGGCCCCAGGAGCTGCAGCTCAGCCTGACTCACCCGTGGCCGGGCCAGAGTCATGCACGGTCTGGGGAGGCCTGTGTGGGGAGCTCACTTCCCTTTTGTTGTCTACTTCCTACTTACCCTTTAGGGCCCAGCCTAGATACCATTTCCTCCAGGAAGCCCTCCCACAGACCTCAGCACACTGGTCCCTACTTGAAAAGTGGCTTATTTGATGCCCATCTCCCCTCTCAACTGCAGCTACAAGAGAACAAGGATTATCTTGGCACCACTGCATCTGTGCTTGGTCAGAGCTGGATATGACCAACCCTGGCCCACACTGGACACAGCTCAGAGACACTCCTACAAGCCCCAGGTGGGGGACAAGGCACTGCTGGGACAAGTCCATTGCAGGACCCACTCCCAATGCTGCTCCTGTGTGCACTGCACCTCTCTGTTTACAAAGGCTCCCATCAACTATGGCATTTATTCCTCACCACTGTTTTCTGTTATTGCAGGAGAATTAAGACCTCTATTTGAGAGATGAGGACATGGAGGTGAGTCCCACGCAGGCCCCCAGATGCCAGGCCAGCTCTTTTTGCATATGCTCAACTGTCCCTGACTGTCCTAACCACCCACATCCACCTCAGCACAACCAGGAATGTGCCATAAAGACCCCCCCCGACCCTATTGGGAGGAAGGTGCCAGGGGTCTGCAGGGCACAGCACATGCTCTCAATCACACGTGAGCAGGACAGGCCACTGCGTGTCTCTGCATCTTGATGTCCTCTGTGAGGCGGGGGCTTCCCCCCAAGGCCCCCATGACCTGCAGGAAAGACCTCGGAGCCCTCTCCTCCCCACTCTGTCTGACTGTGTCTCCATCTGCTAGCTTCACTTCAGAAAGTGCTGAATCAGGACCCCGTGTTTGAGTCCCACCCCGGCCACTGGTCTTCATGCAGCTCCGGACAAGTCCCTGCCCTGCGGGGTGTGAGGAGCTAGACTGACCTACTGCTGGACACGGCCATGATCTCGGGGAAGGAAAGCTCCAGAAGCACCTGCTCCTGCTCATCCACGAAGTAGACACCCGTCCAGTTGACCGCCACGATGACATCTGCAGCTCCGGACAAGTCCCTACCCTGCGGGGTGTGAGGAGCTAGACTGACCTACTGCTGGACACGGCCATGATCTCGGGGAAGGAAAGCTCCAGAAGCACCTGCTCCTGCTCATCCACGAAGTAGACACCCGTCCAGTTGACCGCCACGATGACATCGTTCTTGGGGAGGTTGGGGCCTGGGGCAGAGACAGGGGCACTGAGATGGTGCCTGCCCAGTCCCAGGCCCAGCCCTTCCCAATCCTCATAACCACCATGGAGATGGCCAGCCTGGGGTACACTGATGTCCATTTTACAGATGGGGAAACTGAGACTTAGGGAACACAACTTCCCTACAAGCCAAAACCCCAGGTGTGGTGGGAAGAGAGTGCAGGATTAAGGAGGTGGGTTTGCACACTGTCGCTGCCGCTGGTCTGTGCGACTTGGGCCAAGGCCCTGAGAGCGGTGTGGTAGGATACAGAGCGGGGAGGGTCACACTAACTGAGCCCCAAAGGTTCCCTCCAACCTGATATTTGGTGGTTCTGCAAATCCAGCACCAGCAGAGGGCCTGGTGTGGAGCAGGTGCCTGATGCTGATGCCCAAGGATAGCTAAGCAAATGGCCTGTGTGGGTTTGTGACGGCTGCATCCACTCTCAACTTCACAGGGTTGGCCACCCTATTCTGTACACAGTAGGTGTTTTAATGATCACAATACTCAGTTGTTCCACCTAGTGTGTGGCTGAGCACCTACTAAGTGCCACAGAGCCCTACTGGACTGCAGAGAGGGAGGACCCGCTCAGCACACTGACCTGGGGACCCAGCAGCCCTGAGAGCAGAAGGCTGGCTGACTGGGGAGTCTGGCCCAGGCCGCTCCCCTCCCCTGACTGTGAGCTGGAGCCCTTGAGGGAGAGACGGGAAGCAGGAGGGCTGGGGGTACCTGAGAACTTGTAGGCTTCATAAAACCTGGAGAAGAGCAAGGGCCACTTGAAGCGGGCATAGTTGACCACATCCTCTTTGACCTTCTGAGCATCAGTTCTCCTCTGGGCATAAATTCCCTGGAGGTGCACAGACAAGGACAAGGGAGAAAAGACATGGCACAAGCTCTGTCCCTGTCCCCAAAGCCAGAAGTGGGCCCTGGGCCACTGTGTCCTTGTATGCACCACGGCCTCACCTCACCCCACCAGCCCACAGCGTCCCATCACTCTGTCTTCCTCCGATTCCACCAACAGCAGTGAGTCCTCGAGACACAGGGCAGCGGGCAGGAGAGGTGTTTGGGGAACAAGAACATGAGTGGCTAAGAATCAGGGAGTGGTGCCGGGCATGACCAAGAAGAGGGAGTGGGAACCGGATGGGCAGGAGCCAGGTCATACGGAACTGTGGGTAAGGCCACCCACCACGGTGAGGCTGGGCATTTAGTGGAAACTGACAGGTGAACCTGAGAGTTAGGAAGACAGCAGCATGGAGAATGGTTGGAGCCTGAAGGGGGCAAGCATCTGGGGGACAATCCAACACTTCCACAAGAAATGAATGCACCAGTGTTTTATTATCTAAAAATATCCTGCTGCATTTTAACAAGAACTTGGTGGTACTGAAGTAGGACTGAAGTGATCAGAATGAACTTACCAGTTTTTATCACCTATAAACACAAGCATGGATAAAGACACATGGGTGCCAGCACCTAAGCGGTTGCATTTCCATGCACTAAGAGGGCTCGGAAGCAGTACCATCCCAGGAGCTGTGACAGGACTTCCCTGATGGTCCAGTGGTTAAGAATCCACCTTGCAATGCAGAGGATTTAGGTTTGATCCCTGGTCAGGAAACTAAGATCCCATATGCCGCTGAACAACTAAGCCTACAAGCCACGACTACTGACCCTGTGTGCTTTGGAGCCCGTGCACCACGACCAGAGAGTCCATGCGCTGCAAGGCAAGACCCACATGATGTAACCAAGATCCTGCATGCTGCAACTAAGACCTCATGCAGCCAAATAAATAAGAAAAAAAGGAAAGAAAAACCAGGAGTTGTGAGTATTCAGGAATCAGGGGCTCAGTGTCTCAAATCTAATCTCCAATAGCTCAGAAAAAATAATGGGTATATGTGCTGAGAAAGTCACAGCAGAAGTGGGACAGTGTTAAATACTGGTGAATCTGGGTGAGGTGTATACTGTACACAGCAGCTCTGATTTTTTTCAACCTGAAACCTTCTCATAAGCTTGAAATTATCTCAAAATAAAATATGTTTACCCATCTGACCCTAATAATCACACTAATTCACATCTATCCACCATACGAGGGGTCTGGCCCAGGGTTCTGGGCCACGCAGGCCAGGGCACTACCATCCAGCAGACACCCAGTGAGCTCGGTCATGGGCTCCGGGAGGGCAGACAGCACACCTGTTTTGCCCACAGCTGAGTCTCCAGGGTCTGCTGCGGTGCCCAACACATGACAAGCACCCTAAATGAAAGGAATTCATGAACAGCAGCACCCAACCCAGAACAGGCCACGTGTCACATGCCCCTTGGTGGTGGGCACCGTGGACCCGGGGAAGGCAGAAGGGCTGAGGTGGGGATGGAGGCTGGAGCTGCTGGGGCCTTCGGCAGCTGACCAGGAGTGAGGGGTGAGGGAGAGGAGGCTGCCAATGTCAGAGAGAGAGGGAGGGGCGGGGAGGAGAACATGCATCTCTTCTGGGGGCACTGAGGACAGGAAGGTCCTTGGGGGGTGAGCCAAGCCTAGAAGCAGAGGGGGTGCCAGGAGCACTTGGGTACAGGTGGAGACTTGTGGGCAGCTCACCAGAGAAGGCAGAACTCAGGGGGAGACACACGGGGCTCCCGGGTTAGGGAAGAGGCCGCATGGGGAGCCTTGGAGCCCTTGATAGCTTGTGTGCAAAGATGATTCTGCTCTTATACAACCAGGGCCTGGAGATGAGGGGGTGGCCGATGGGTCCCCTTCAGCAACCAGGGTCCCCCCTCCCCACCAGGCCACCCCCGCTCTACTTGGGGTGGGTCTGTTAGTTTAGAACAGAGCTACTCAGGGCTGGTTATGGGCCTGGGGCCTCAAATAAGAGACAGAGGGAGGCCTGTACCTCAAATTCCCCAGGCAGGAATTTGGGCCAGAGCTCTTCCGGGGAGAAAGGAGGCGCATCTCCTAGAAGCTTCTTTAATGTGCAACCATCCTCCTGACCCGCAGGGCTAGTGAGAGCTCAGGACTGGATTTGACCCATCTGTGTCCCTGGTGTCCAGCCCAGAGCAGAGAGCACAAAACAGCAGTGAACCGATGTCCACAGTGGAGAAAGGCTGCTGGGAGCCAGGAAGTCAAGGTGCCGTCCTGTCCCCCCAGTCCCGTGGACAAGCAGATGCCAGGTAAGAGCCGGGATCCCTTGGATTTCTCAGGTCCCAACCCCTCGTCCAGGTCACCATAAAGCCCTCCCTTCGAAGCCCCAGGCCTCTGACCTTCTTGTGGGCTGCAATGGCCAGCTGGGCCCACTTCTCCAGCGTCCTCAGGGGCGTGATCTCGCGGTCAGGGATGTAGGTGGGCACGAGGTTCAGCAGGCGCTCCAAGATCATCTCGGAGCCATAGTCCACGAAGTACTGCTGGGAGGCCAGTTCAGCCAGGTCATCCTCCTAGGCAGGGGGAGAGCTCATCAAAACAAGCTCTGGGAAGCTGTTCCAGGCCACCAAGCCTGCCGTACTTTCAGACCCAGGCCCTGGGGATTCTGTGCTCTCCCTGACTCAGCAGGAGCTCCCGTCTGCTTGGTGGAACTGTGAGCAGCCCAAGGGCAGGGTCCCACTTGCCTGCTCCTGGATACCCCCCTCAGCAACAGCACAGAGTTGGACTATGCCCAAGGGCACATGAGCTGACCCAGAGGAAGCCCATTAGTACTGGGTCAGCCACTACATTCTCAGCCTGGCGAGAAGGGCCTGCCCTGGAGAATAGGAGGCCTGGGTATAAGACATCAGAGGTGGGTGGAGGTATCACCGTGACTACTTCCATCATCACCATGACACTACCTGGGAATGGTCAAGGTATTGAGCAACCCCTGGGCTATACCGCCGAGACTGCAGAGTGCTAGGTGGGTGCTAAGCATCTGCCCCTTTTCTGCCTAAGCCTGGTGCATGGCAGCCCCAGAGATGTCTGCCTGGGGCTCCCTTGGGCTCTGGAAGCAGGAGCGATAGAGAAAGACTCTTGGGCACCTTGAAGACAATAATTTTCCAACTAGCTTAAAGTATTTCAAAATTTTAGCAACTGATGTGGCTATATTAATATATTCTGCTTGAATATCAGTTCGCCAGCACCAAAACCACCGTCATTATCCCCACCACCATCCTCACCACCATCCTCATCACTACCCTTACCATCACTTGCACCATCACTACCTCCACCATTGCCATCTCTGCCACCAACACTTCCCTTCATTTCCAACACTTCCCTTCATTTCCATCCTCATTCCTCCATCTAATCACCAGCAGAACCATAAATGTCATAAAACCATCAAAAACAAAGCATGCATGTCAATCCTGTCCTCAGAGATAAAAGGATACATGTTTGCAAACTCTGGTCTAAATGAATGGATCTCTTACTCCTTTAGAGAAATTTCTAGAGTAACTCAGAACAATACAACAGGATGCACAGAATAAGATGGTAGAGTGAAAGGACCTGAGCTCACCTTCTCTCATGAAAATACCAAAACCACAACTAACTGCTGGAAAATCATCAACAAAAAAAGGACTGGAACCTACCAGAAAAGATACTCTACTTCCAAAGACAAAGAAGAAGCCACAATGAGACAGTAGGAAGGGTGCATTCCCCATAAAATCAAATCCCAAATATCCTGGGTGGGCAACCACAAACTGGAAAATAATTACATTGCAGAAGCTTTTCCACAGGAATGAGAGTTCTGAGTCTCATGTCAGGCTCCCCAGTGTGGGGGTCTGACCAAGGGAGGAGGAGCCCCCAGAGCATTCGGCTTTGAAGGCCACCTGGGCTTAATTGCAGGAATTTTACAGGACTGGGAGAAACAGACACTCCAGTCTCAGAGGATGAAAACAAGGTTTCACATTCAGTTGGACCCAGGGCAGGGCAGCAGCTCCATAGGAGCCTGCAGGTCTTGGAGGGTCTCCTGGGAAGGTCGGGGGGACAAATAGGGCTCGCTGTGAGGACAGGTACACTTGTGGGGGAGGGACTGGGTATTCTTTGGCATAGAGTTGTCCTGGAGGCCACCATTTTGACATCAAGATGTGGCCCCACCCAACAGCCGAAGGCACCAATGCTGTGATGCACCAGGCTGAACAACCAAAAGGACAGGAACACAGCCCCATCCCATCAGCAGACAGCAGCTTAACGTCTTCCTGAGCCCACAGCCATCTCTTAAACACACCTGTGGGCCTTGCCCACTAGAGGGACAAGATCCAGCTCTAGCCACCAGTGAGCAGGCACCAGTCCTTCACACCAGGAAGCCTGCACAAGCCTCTTAGACTAGCCCCGTCCACCAGAGGGCAGACACCAAAAGCAAGAGGAACTATAATCCTGCAGCCTGTGGGACTGCAAACACAGAAAGACAAATTGAGACAGCAGAAGAATATGTTCCTGATGAAGGAACAAGATAAAATGCAGAAGAACTAAGTGAAGGGGAGACAACCTACCTGAAAAAGAATTCAGATAATGATGGTAAAGATGATCATCAAAGATCTCAGAAAAAGAATGAAGGCACAGATTGAGAAGATAAAATAAATTTTTAACAAAGAGCTAGAAAATTTAAAGAAAAATAGAGATGAACAATAACTGAAATGAAAAATACACTAGGAGGAAAAATAGAATGAGCAGAAGAAAGGATAAGTGAGCCAGGAGACATAAAGGTGAAAATCACTGCCATAGAACAGAAAGAATAAAAAAAAAAGAAATGAGGACAGTTTAAGAGACCTCTAAGACAACATTAAACACACTAACATTCACGTTATAGGGGTCCCAGGAGGAGAAGAGGGAGAGAAAGGGCTGAGAATATATTTGAAGAGATAACAGGTGGAAACTTCTCAAATACAGGAAAGGAAGCAGCCACCCAAGTCCATGGGAAGCAAAAAGTCCCATACAGAATAAATTCAGAGAAGAACATGCTGATACATATTAATATACTGACAAAAATTGAAGACAAAAAGAAAATATTAAAAGCAACAAGGGGAAAGCAGCAAATAACATACAAAGGAATACCCATAATGTTATCAGCTGATTTTTCAGCAGAAACTCTGCAGGTCAGAAGGGAGTGGCACAATATATTTAAAGTGATGAAACGGAAAAACCTACAAACAAGAGTACTCAGCAAGGCTCAAACCTACAAACAAGAGTACTCAGCAAGGCTCTTATTCATATTCGAGGGAGAAATCAAAAGCTTCACAGACAAGTAGAAACTGGGAGAATTCAGCACCACCAGACTAACTTTGCAACAAATGCTAAAGAAACTTCTCTAGACAGAAAAGTCTACAACTAGAAACAAGAAAATAATGAATGTGAAAGCTCACCGGTAGAAGCAAACATACAGTAAAGGTAGGAAATCATTTACACACAAAGATGGTATCAAACCCAGAAATTGTGAGAAGAGGGTACAAATGCAGGATATTAGAAATGCATTTGAAATTAAGTGATCAGCAACTTAAAACAATCTTGGATACATGTAGACTGCTATATTGAAACTTCATGGTAACCACAAACCAAAAATCTACAATAGATACACACACAAAAGAGAAAAAGGAATCTAAACACAACACTAAATATAGTCATCAAATCACAAGAGTAGAGAACAAAAGAGGAAGAGAAGAAGCAAGGACTACAAAAACAATCCCAAATCAATTAATAAAATGGCAGTAAGAACATGTGTAAGTGAGTGCTAAGTCACTTCAGTTGTGTCCAGCTCTTTGCAACACTATGGGCTGTGGCCTGCCAAGCTCCTCTGCCCATGGGTTTCTTCAGGTAAGAATACTCTCACTATAATACAATACAATACTCTCAATACAACCCAATACATGGGTTGCCATGCTCTCCTCCAGGGGATCTTCCCAACCCAGAGACTGAACCAGTGTCTCTTACATCTCCTGCATTGGCAGGCAGGTTCTTTACCACTATCACCACCTGGGAAGCCCCAATAAGAGCATACATATTGGTAATTACCTTAAATGAAAATGAATTAAATGTTACAATCAAAAGACATACACTAGCTGAATGGATACAAAACTAAGACCCATGTATATTCTGTCTACAAGAAACCCACTTCAGATGTAGGGACATACACAGACTGAAAGTGAGGGGATGAAAAAACCACATTCCATGCAAATAGACATCAAAAGAAAGCTGGAGTAGTAACACTCCTATTAGACAAAATAGGCTTTAAAACAAAGGCTGTTATAAAAGACAAAGGAGGACACTACATAATTACCAAGGAACCAATCCAAGAAGAAACTACTATAAATATATATGCACCCAACATAGGGGCACCTCAATATATAAAGAAAATGCTAACAGCCATAAAAGAATGTATTGACAGTAACACAATAATAGTGGAGGACTTTAACACCCCATTTACATCATTGGACAGATCATCCAGACAGAAAATCAATAAAGAAACACATGTCTTAAATGACACATTAGACCAGGTGGACTTAACTGATATTTATAAAGCATTTCACCCAAAAGCAGCAAATGCACATTCTTTTCAAGTATACACAGAACATTCTCCAGGGTAGATCACATGCTAGGCCATAAAGCTAGCCTTAATAAATAAAAAGTGAAATCACATCAAGCATCTTTTCTGACCATAAAAGCTATGAAATTAGAAATCAGCAACAAGAAAAAAATTGTAAAAAAAAACACAAACACATGGAGGATAAACAATATGCTACTAAATAATCAACAGAGAAATCAAAGGGGAAATCAAAAAACTCCTAGAGACAAATGAAAACAAAAACATGATATCCAAAACCTGTGGAATGCAGCAAAACTATTCTAAGAAGGAAGTTCATACAATACAATCTTACATCACATAAGAAGAAAAATCTCAAATAAACAATCTAACATTACACCAAAAGCAACTAGAGAAAGAAGAACAGAGCCTAAAGTTAGTAGAAGGAAGAAAATCATAAAGATCAGAGTAGAAATAAATGACATAGAGACAAAGAAAATAATCCCAAAGATCTTCAAAATGATAAGACTGATGAACCTTTATCCAGACTCATCAAGAAAAAAAGGGAGAAGGGGCAAATCAATAAAATTAGAAATGAAAAAGGAGAAATTACAATACCACAGAAACACAAAGTATTTTGAGACTACTACAAGCAACTATATGCCAATAAAATGGACAATCTAGAGGAAATGGACAAATTCTTAAAGATGTACAATCTTCCAGAACTGAACCTAGAAGAAATAGAAAATACGAACAGACCAATCACAAGTACTGACATGGAAACTGATTTAAAAACTTCAAACAAACAAAAAATCCAGGACCAGATGCCTTCACAGACTAATTCTATCAAACATTCAGAGAAGGATTAACATCTGTATTTCTGAAACTGTTTCAAAAAATTGCAGAGGAAACAACACTCCCTAACTCATTCTATGAGGCCATCATCACCCTGATACCAAAACCAGACAAAGATATCACCAAAAAAAAAGAAAATCACTGATGAACACAGGCACAAAAACCCTCAATAAAATACAAGCAAACCAAATTCAACACTACAGTAAAAGGATCATACACCATGATCAAGTGAGATTTATCCCAGGGATGCAAAAATTCTTCAATATTGGCAAATCAATATGATCAACCTACTACATGCAGAAAACTGAAAAATAAAAACAATATGATCAACCTCATACAAGCAGGAAAAGCTTTTGACAGAATTCAACAGCCATATGTGATAAAAAACTCTCCAGAAAGTGGGCATAGAGAGAAACTAACTCAACATAACAAAGGCCGTATATGACAAAACCACAGCTAACATCCTTCACCATGGTGAAAAACTGAAAGTATTTCCTTTAAGACCAAGGACTAGAGAAGGATGTCCACTCCTGCCACTTTTCTTCAATGTAGTTTTGGAAGTTGTAGCCATATCAGAGAAGAAACAGAAATAAAGGGAATCCAAATTGAAAAAGAAGTAAAATGGTCACTGTTTGCATACGGTATGATACTATACAGTAAGTCCCCTACATATGAACCTTCAGGTTGTAAACTTTCAAAGGTGTAAACGTGTTTGCATGTCCAGGCATATAAGTCAGTTCATGTATCTGGCATACATTGTCATGTGTGTGCACCCTCTACAAGGGGCTGGATTTTGTGTCCGTTACTGCACAGTACTGTATAGAGTACAGTAGTACATTATATTTATTTCAAGCTAGATCTGCAAGAGGATGACTGCGTTGAACTCCTTGCTATGCAATACAAGTTTACTAATGAAAACCTGATGGAACTGGAGCCCCAGTCAAAGGACAAAGAGAGACAAGAGGAAGAAGTAACCAAACAGATTCACGACACAGGGAATGGCAAGGTCTTCTGTATTTGAGGAGGCACTATCAGTTTTGAGGCACAGAACCTAAGCACAGAACAGTGCATGAAGCTTGCAGCTGCTGTTTAGAATGTAATCCAGGGCCACTGTGTCATTATGATGAGAAAAAAAGATCCAGACATCACTGGATCGTTTCTTCAAGAGGGCAGATAGAATTGAATCCAGCAAGGAGCCAGAACCTGAGCCGTCAGTGTCAGACGTGAGCGAGGCTGCAGCTTGCCCTCCATCTCCTAGTGCTGTGATCCACCAGTTCTACCATCTCCCACCTCCTCTCCCTCCTCTAGTCAATAACCTTCTTGCCCGTTTAATCGATGCCAGTCTCTCTATGCCAGCTGTTGTACTGTACTTTGAAGGTACTACATGCAAGATTAGAAATGTTTTATTTTGTTGTCTTTTACGTATTATTTGTGTGAAAAGTACTGTAAGACTATTATAGTACAGTACTATATAGCTGATTGTGTTAGTTGGATACCTAGGATAACTGTCAGACATGAACAAATTAGACTCATGGATGCACTCTCAGAACAGAACTCGTTCAAATGTAGGGGACCTACTGTACATGGAAAATCCCAAAGATGCTACCAGAAAACTACTAGAGCTCATGAATGAACTTGGTAAAGTTCCAGGCTACAAAATTAATATGCAGAAATATCTTGCATTTCTATACACTAACAACAAAAATCAGAAAGAGAAATTAAGGAAACAATCCCATTTATCATCACATCAAAAACAATAAAATACCCAAGAATAGACCTTTGTAAGGAGGCAAAAATCCTGTACTTTGAAAACTATAAGATGTTGATGAAAGAAACTGAAGGTGACATAAACAGATGGAAAGATATACCATGTTCTTAGATTAGAAGAATCAATATTGTCAAAATGTCTATACTGTCCAAGGCAATCTATGGATTCAATGCCAGCCCTCTCAAATTACCAATGGCATTTTTCACAGAACTAAAATAAAAACCTTTAAAATCTGTATAGAGACACAAAAGAACCCGAAGAGCCAAAGCAATCTTGAGAAAAAAGAAAACAGAGCTGGAGGAATCAGGCTGTCTGACTTCAGACTATTTACTACAAAGCTACAGTCAAAACAGTATGGTGCTAAGTCACGTCAGTCGTGTCCAACTCTGTGCGACCCCATAGACGGCAGCCCACCAGGCTCCCCCATCCCTGGGATTCTCCAGGCAAGAGTACTGGAGTGGATTGCCATTGCCTTCTCTGAAAACAGTATGGTACTGGCACACAAATAGAAATATAGATCAGTGGAACATGATAGAAAGTCCAGAAATAAACCCAGGAACCTATGGTCAACTAATGTATGACAAAGGAGGCAAAACTATACAATGGAGAAAAGACAGTCTCTTCAATAAATGGTGTTGGGAAAGCTGGACAGCTCCATGTAAAAGAATGAAATTAAAACATTCTCTAATACCATACACAAATATAAGCTCAAAATGGATTAAAGACCTAAATGTAAGACTGGATACTATAAAACTCTTGGAGGAAAAGATAGGCAGAACATTCTGTGACATAAATTGCAGCAATATCTTTTCCAATCCATCTCCTAGAGTAGTGAAAATAAGAACAAAAATAAACACGTAGGAAATTCAAATGCTTTTGCACAGCAAAGGAAATCACCAACAAAACAAAAAGATAACAGAGAATGGGAGAAGATATTTGCAAATAATGCAACCAACAAGGAATTAATCTCCAATATGTACAAACAACCCACGCAACTCAGTAGCAAACAAACAACCTACTCAAAAAATGGGCAGATGATCTAAATAGATATTTCTCCAAAGACATAGAGATGGTCAAAAAGCACATGAAAGATGGTCAATATCACTAATCATATCAGAGAAATGCAAATCAAAGAAGTATCAACTCACACCCAATCAGAAAGGCCATATTCAAAAAGTCTACAAATAATAAATGCTGGTGAGGATATGGAGAAAAGGGAACCCTCCTACACTGCTGATGGGGATGTAAATTTGGCATAGCTATTAACAACTAAGCACAGCGCACTATGGAAACAGTATGACAGGTCTTTTGAAAACTAAAAATAGAACTACCATGTGATCTAGCAATCTCACTCCTGGGCGTATATCCAGAGAAAACCATACTTTGAAAAGATATATGTGCCCAGTGTTCACTGCAGCGTTGTTTATAATAGCCAAGACATGGAAGCAACCTAAATGTCCACTGACAGAGAAATGGATAAAGAATATGTAGTGAAAGTGAAAGTGTTAGTCACTCAGTCATGTCTGACTCTCTACCACCCCATGGACTGTACCAGCCAGGCTCCTCTGTCCATGGAATTCTTCAGGCAAGAATATTGGAGTGGGTAGCCATTCCCTTTTCCAGGGGATCTTCCCAACCCAGGGATCGAACTCAGGTCTCCCACATTGCAGGCAGATTCTTTACCATCTGAGCCACCAGGGAAGCCCAAGAATATGTCGTGCATATATTTATACAAAAGAATATTGTTGTTGTTTCGTTGCTAAGTTGTGTCCAACTCATTTGCAACCTCATGGACTGTAGCCCACCAGGATCCTCTGTCCATGGGATTTCCCAGGCAAGAACACTGCAGTGGATTGCCATTTCTTTCTTCAGGGCATCTTCCCAAACCAGGGATCGAACCCACGTCTCCTGCTTGGCAGGTGGTTTCTTTACCACTGAGCCATCTGGAAAGCCCCACAATGAAATATTACTCAACCGTTAAGAGTTGAAACCATTAAGAATGAAATAACACCATTTGCAGCAACAGGGATGGACCAAGAGATTATCATACTAAGTAAAGTAAGTCAACAAGAGACAAATATCATATGATATCTCTTATATGTGGAATCTAAGAAAAATTACACAAGTGAACTTATTTATAAAACAGAAACAGACACACTGACTTCGAAAACAAATTTCAGGTTACCAAAGAGGAAAAGAGTATGGGATAAATTTGGAGGTTGAGATTAACATACATACACTACTACATGTATTAATTAAATAGATAATCAGTCAGGATCTACTATATAGCACAGGGAATTCTATCAATACTCTGTAATAAGCTATATGGGAAAAGAATCCGAAGAAGAATGAATATATGTTTACATATAACTAAATCACTTTGCTGTAAACCTGAATCTAACACAACATTGTAAATCAAATGTACTCCAATATAAATAAATAACCAAATAAATAAAATGATTTGACAGCGATAAAAAAGAACAATACAGCGAGTTGTGAAGCACGTACTCTGTGCCACGCAGTCACCACAGCAGGGCAGGAACGCCTCCCACAGGCGAATTCAGGCTTTCTTCAAAGCCCTCGCTCCTGTGTGCCAGGCTCAGCCACTTCAGTCACGTCTGACCCTGTGGACTGTGGCCTGCCAGGCTTCCCTGTCCATCACTGTCCAGAGTTTGCTCAAACTCATGTCCCTCGACTCATTGATGCCACCCAACCATCTCATCCTCTGTCGCCCCCTTCTCCTCCTGCCTTCAATCTTTCCCAGCCTACGGGGTTGGTGTTAAATCTAAGAGGAGCCTAGATGACACCCCGCCTCCATGTGACTAACCTCCCCATTCACCGATGGTGAGTCAGAGATAGCAACACTCAGCCAAATTCAGCAAACAGGCAACTAAGAACCAAGCAAGCTCAGCCAGAAAATTAGCTCTCACTCACCTTCTCACACCTGTACTCCCCAAACTTGACCCCTCGCACCACCTGCTGGTAGATGAGGTTAGTGGCCACGTTGTCTTCTGAGGGGTTGTGCCAGGGCGTGAAGACCTCCTTGCGGAAGAAGAGCCTCCATGGGGCGTTGCGCTCCTGGGCGCCCTGCTCCTTGGCGTACTGCTCACACTGGGAGATAGCGTCCATGACGTGGTCGCTGCCACTGCCCAGGGAGGACACCTGCAGGCACAGGGCTGGAAGTCAGCCAGCAGAAGGGTGGACAGGCAGGGAAGGACTGCAAGGAGCCATCAACTGCACCAGCTGTTCTGGTTCAGATGGAAAGCCAAGGCTCAGGGCAAGGTGGGGCCTGCCCAGGTCACCCAGGAGGCAGACCAGCAGGGGGGAACCCCTGGATCCCAACACGGGCACTGAGCTGGCACGGCCACTGGGGGATTCCTATTTCCTAATGGAAGCTTTTTGTGAAACTCTGGTGGGCACGTGGTCACTGAAAATGCAGAAGGTATCTGTTGGTGAGAGAAATGGCATCAGAAAACATGTTGCTATCACTGAACCTGCTAGGATGGGGGGTGGGGGGCATCTCTGCGGTCTGTGGTGATCCTGGGTGTGCAGGCAAAAGTCACCCACATCCAGGCCCAGCTCAGCTTCTCTGGTAGCTCAGTGGTAAAGAATCCACCTGCCAATGCAGGAAACATAAGAGATGCAGGTTCGATCCTTGGATCAGGGAGATCCCCTAAAGAAGGAAATGGCAGCCCACTCTAGTATTCTTGCCTTGGCAAATCCCATGGACAGAGGAGCCTGGAGGGTCACAGTCAATGGTCTCACAGAGTCAATCATGACTTAGCAACGAACCAACAACAACAAGGCCCGCTCAGCAGAGAAGTCTCCAGGCCCACATGCACCCCTCGAGGCACACACTGTAGGTCTAGATGGTCCGAAACAAGGGTAAAGAAACTACCATTCCTGATAAGGAATCATAAGTCCATTTGCAAACAGGAAAACTGAATCTCGGAGCCAGTGGTTCTCTCTCCTCCATGTTCTTTCTCTGTCATCAGCAGAAGGTTGGATCCACCTGGGTGCATATGCGTGCAGCGAGCCCCGGGCTTCAATCTCCATTGTATGGTTGGGTTTCTCTTGAGGTGCTTAGGATCCCTCCATGATCCTAAGGAGCTGGGGCAGGGCCAGGGTTCCCACTAGTTTACAGAGGAAGTAACTGAAGCCCTGGAAGGTCAGTAACCACGCAAGGGCACCCGAGCCGGTAGGTGGCAGCACTGGGGTGGGAGCTGGTGGGTGGCCCTGGGGGTTCTGGGAGGAGGGGTTCCCGGCTGCCCTCACCTTATCAAACAGGGCGATGTAGAGAGAGAACCCGAAGCGGTCCTTGAGCGAGATCTTGTCGGCCAGCGCGTTGCAGAGCTCCTTGGCTGTGGTCGCCGAGTCCGTCAGCAGCGTCTTGGTGGTCCCGTCCATGAACGTCACAGGCAGCATGATGGGCTTCTTGGACTTGGTGGCCTGAAAGTGACCCAAGAGGCTGTGTGGGAATCCTTTCACTTCAGGACATCCCCCTCCCTCTGGGCTCCCGGCTCCCTCTGGAGATGGAGCCCTCAGACCTAAAGGTCCCACAGCACATTGCCTGTCCCTGGTCACAGGTTCCCAGGGAGCCCTGCTGCGCTCCCCACCCTGAGAGGACCTGCAGGGTCCCTGAGCTGGGGCACTAGCGCTGGCCGGGTGGTCAGGCTTTGCCAGGTGCCAAGGACGCCTGTCCTCCTGTCATGTAACCATCACAAGACCCTGTGAAGTGACATTTTCATTGCCATGCTGCAAGATGAAGCCACTGAGACACAGAGGAACACCCCCCAAGTCACGTTGACTCTTAAGCCAGCAGATGGAGTCATTGCCCACAGGGGGCTTTCCTGTTCCAGGGGCTTGAGACTCCAGAACTCGAGGGTGTGAGCTTGAAAGACCACAGAATCCCAGAGCAGGGAACGTTTCTAGGGCCCTGGGGTGTACTGGTCACACAAGCACACACACACACAAGCACACATGCCCGGGGGTCACACCTGCAGCTCCAGCCAGCTGGGCGGCTGTGTCCGTGTCCCGTTGACAAAGGTCCTCCTGAGTCGCTCCTCACAGTACGGGGCGTAGCCAGGGGGTCCCCCATGGATGAAGTTCCGCAGGTACTATGGACAGAGGACCAACTCAGGGGACCCCACTCCAGCCTCCCTCGGCCTCTCCACCTGTGAGACAGGCTGATAGGCTGGGACCTGGGACCCTTTACTGGACTGCTTGCACCTAGACAAATATCTCCTTGAGCAACAAAATGCAAAGAAACCAAAAGGGACCGAAAATAACTGCACAGGTGCAGTGGGAGCAATTATGAACAATAAGATACATAAAGGCCACAAACCAACTGCCATTTCTGAGCTGCTGGGAGCAGAGGCAGGGACTCTTCCAAGAGCCCTGCAGACAGCACCACCATCAAGGGGGTGGGCAGACAACCTCTGATCTGACCCACCAATCTGTCCCCACCCTCACCTTATTTAAGGAGCCAGGTAGCAAGCAGGGGCATCCATTTCTTATTCTTGCTCCCTTGTACTGCAGCACCAGCCTCAGTAAAGCCTTGCCTGAATTTCATGTCTGGCCTCTTATCAACTTCTATTGATTAAAAGGTGCATAGACCCAGGTCAGTAACACCTGGACCATCGGCAACTTTCCCAGGTCTCCTGCCTCTGATTCCTCCACCCACACTCGAACCTGCTCCTGGGGACACCTCCATCCATGCCCCTCTTCAGCTTCCCAGGGCTCCCCACTGCCCTCTAGATCAAGTCCACGTACTTCATGCTGGCAAAAAGGCTGCCATGATCCAGGCCTTTCTAGTCTCAGCCATGCCTCCGGCCTCACCCCACACACCACCCCTGCCCTGCACCCAGCTTAACTGCTCCTCTTTCTCCAGGGTCCACCTCCCTGACCCCTCCATTCCTCATAGTGCTGACCAGTTGGGCTGATCTAGCTGTCAGCTGTTCTGCCTCTGTGCTGGGTCCCCAGCACCCAGAGCCTGGCACCCAGGGTCACAAAAGAGCCTGAGATGAACTGAAGTGCTTCGGACCAGCATGTGGAAGGTCCAGGAGATACTGCTGTCAAACACAGCATCTGCATAAATCAAATGGGGCCAGGGGAGACAGAAATGAAGTGGTGGGTGCCTAGGAGAAGGGCCAGGAAGATGGGCCCTGCAGAGGCAGGGAGGTCTGGGAGAAGATGACCTGGGCAGGACCTCACTGCCAAGCCCCTCTGCCCTCTGAGATGCTTCTCCGTGCTCGGCTCCTTGACACCAGAGACCGGGCCCAGTTCCCCTTCCCATCCCTGGAGGCCAAAAGCCTCCCTTACCTTAACGAACTTCTCAGAGGGGGCGAAGCAGCCCACACAGAGAGACACGAGGATCCAGCCCCGGGCATAGCTGCTCTTGGAGGGGTTGTGAGTGAGCTGCTTGCTGATCTGGCAGTAGATCTCATCCCTAAGCAGAGTGGGGTACAAGGAAGGGAGACAGACTGTCTCAGACGGAAAGCCCACCCTCCATCCAGCAGCAGGTGAGATGCCTACTCCCCCACTTGCCAGGGATGACCCAGGAGGAGGGTGGTCAGAGTGGGACCAGGTGGGGAAGGCTGAGCCCAGGGCTCTGGAGAGGGTCTGGCTTTGGAGGAGACAGGCCCACCCACTGGACGTGAAGCACGTTTTGTGCCTGACTCCAATCCAGAGACCAGGGCCCCCGTTCTGGGCATGGAACCATGGTCAGTGGTGACCACTCTGATGGAAAGCACAGGCTCCATCCCTCCCTCACCCTTCACCAAGCTGCATGGCCTAGGCAGATGAGTTCACCTCTGAGCCCAACCCACAGTCCCAGCAGCAGGTACAACTTCCACTAATGGAAACCGGCAGAGCAGGAAATGGGAAAAACATCTGGGGAGTTTCTCTGGGGGAGGAAATGAGTAGAGACTTTGATGTTCTCTTGATATGTTTCCGTATATTTGAATATTTAAGTGACCATGTATTACTTTTGATCCCTGGGTCAGGAAGATCCCCTGAAGGAGGAAATGGCAACCCACTCCAGTATTCTTGCCTGGAAAATTCCATGGGCAGAGGAGCCTGGTGGACTGGCAGTCCATGGGGGTCACAAAGAGTCGGACATGACTGAGTGAGTGAGCATGCACGCATTATTTTTGTAATCAGATAAAATCAGTGAAGGTAATTTTTTGTTTTGTGTTGTTTTCATTTTAAAGGGAAATGATAGCACGCTCCTTATAAGATTGTTGTGAAGAAAAATGAGCCAAGGCTTATACAGCCCCTGGCACAATGCCCAGCACAATAAACCCCCGAAAGATGCCAGCCTAGCTGCAGCCTTAAGATGCTGCCTGTCCATTCAGGGCCAAAGGCTGGACCCACCATGGTGCAGGAACCACCAGGGGGCACTCACTGCTGTTCTTCTCTCTTAGAAGGGCAGGTTTCTAATTCAGTGTCTCCCCAATTTTGAGAGCTCACAGACCCATACAACTTCAAAATAAATTCTGGAAGTTGCTAACTTACTAAGTTAAATAGCTTATAATTTATTTGTCATCAACTTATAATGACAAATAAGGACATTTAAAACACACCATATACACAGCACCTGCCCATTATCTATTATCACAATCATTTTATAAAACAAAGGTAAATTTAATATTCAAAAAGTAGGAAGGCAAAACCTCAGAACAAAGAATCGTGTTTTAAATAAATCAAACTTAGAAACATCCTTATTTTCCCCATCTTGTCACAGAACAGTAGCTGGAAGCCCTGACCCTGTTCACTTTCTGAGCAGAGAGATGGAGGTCAAGAGAAGGGAGGGATTAGTCACAGACCCTCAGGGAGTTGGCACTCGAGCCTTCTGACTCAGCCCAGGGCTCCTGGCACTGTGTTATTTAGAATTACCACTTCAGTTCTGATGGGGAGATTAATAGGGAGATAAATTCTTGACCCTTAAACATACCTTGGGCAATCACCTTTTCTTCCCGGGGGCTGACAGACCCAAGTGTTACATCTCTGGTGAGCAAAGTAGTAACAGGCCTCAAGGAGCAATGAAAGAGAGACCAGTGACCCCTGGGCAAACCTCTTCCCTTCTTTGGACCTCCTGTGTCCTAAGGTTAAATGATACTTGACCTCCCCACCCACCCCATCCTGCTGTTCTCCCAGCCAACACACATGAGTTCATGGTCGTCTCTCCTAACCAGACATCTTGTGAAGATAGAATTCTCATAGAAACCATGTTTTCCCGCCACTGATACAGCTGAGTTGATTCCTTAATTGCTCCTGAAAAGTCACAGACCATCCCAGCTCCTCCACAACACCCCAGGGACCCAAGCAAAGGCCTCTCCTGGGCCTGAGTGGGGAAGGAGGCATGTGCAGGATGCCTTCTGACCACAGTAACCCTGACCACAGGCCTGGGCTGGGTGCACTGAAGGTGCCGACAGGGATGAGTTACACATCAGATAATGCTAATAGCCAACAGCTACCATTTACTGAATGCCCATCAGTTGCTAAAGTGACGGAGCCACGATCCTGCCACCCAAAGCCTTGTGGGGCTGGAAGAGCCGGATGGCTCCCCCTGCAAGCTGCCCCCTCCCTGAGCCCCTGCCCTCAGGCGCTGACCGGAGCGCTGGCCGCAGGATGCCGTTGCCAATGATGAAGTGCAGCTTCTCCAAGTTGGAGGTGGGCCGGTCCTCCAGCATGCTGTTGCCCTGCACCGTGGACTCCCCATCATGCAGTCTCTTGGTCACCTGGGATACAGGGGAGGGCGGAGGCTCGAGCAGGGCTCTCCCACTTGCCTGAGTCTGCCCACTCCCCCAGAAAGCAGAACCCTGGGAGTGGCCAGAGAGCTGGCTCCTCAGTACCGTCATACCGCTGGCCCATGCAGGACAGACGCTGGGTCAATGCCTGGCCCACACAGCCGGGGGGCGCTGGCCTGGTGCCACCCCCTTCTGAGGACAAGGCTCCTCTGCAGTCTCCCTGACAGCGCTCCCCACAGGGAGGTCCCCCCAGCCAGGGCAGGGGCTGCTCCTCTGACCCCTGGGATCCCTAGCTCTCTAAGATGGGCTGCACACCACTCCGACAGCCAGTCTACCCACGTTCCAAGCACCACCATCACCCATCATTAACACCCTGGCCCCATGCGAACAGGGTGTTCAGGCCTGGGTTCTTTCAAATGCACTTCTCGGGTTCCACACAGCCCACAGTGCCAGCCCCACCCTGTGCCCAGAGACTCAGAGCAGGTGAGAGGTGAGTGGTGGGAGCATGCCCCTGCAGACAGGAAGGGCTCCAGAGGGCCTCGTGTCTGCTGAGCACCCACAGTCAGCATCTCAGGCCATCATCCTAGGAACCCACTAGCAGGCGTTTTTCTTCTCTGGGTGCCTTGGCTATGGAGCAGAGCTGGGATTTAAATCTGGGGCTATGAAGCTATCGGACTGGACTGGAGCCTCGGATGGGGAACAAGAGGAAGACAAAGGCAAGGCAGGCTCAGAAAGTCCCAGAGAAGCAGCCTGAGCCTGTCTTGGGGAAGGCTTCCTGGAGGAGGTAACCCCAAAGCACAGAAGAGGAAGGCAGAATTTTAGGCAGAGGGACCAGAGTGCACAAAAGCAGAGGCTTGGAGGAGCCAGTCCCTCTGCACCGTGAATGCCTTTGTGTCTGTCGGCCCTTGCAGCCTGGACAGTCCTGGAGCAAGGGGCCCAGGACGGTGCTCAGAAAACACAAGGTGACTAAATGAATGAATTCAAACAAACTAATAGTGTTAATGCCCCCAAGGATACTCTTAACCCACAGAAATGTTTTCATCAGTTAAAATGTCCCTGTATCAGATGCAGTGAGTCCATGCCCTGGCAAGAAAGGTCTTCCCCCTCCCACCATCCTATGGCCCCTGTTCCAGGAAGCCCCCCTGACTGGCCCCTGACTGAGCACAGCACCCTCTTCCTTGCATCCTGTCTGCCTGATCACACCTAACACTGTCCTGCCAGCCACCCCCGTCCCCTGAGGACAGGCAGGATCCATTCCTGTCCCTGTGGGTCCCAAGCCCAGTCTAGGCCACCAAGACTGTGCAGGGTCTGCTCTTACCTCCTCTGTCAGTTTGGACTTCTTTTTCAAGGTCAAGTGCACCAGCTTGTGCCTCACACTGCTCTTCTTTTGCCCATCAGGGAGCTGGGGCTGCAGGACAAACAAGGGTCAAGATCAAGTGACTGGCCCATAAATAAGACAAGAGCAGCTGACAATGTAGCTAGAATTAGCTCAAGCCCACACTAACATTTACAATGTATACCTTACCTTACCCCTCCAGCCCACCATCAGTCAAGTGGCAGATGTGAAAACAGACTCTGAGAAGTACAGTAACCCACAAACCACCCCCTAACAAATCCAGATGGAAGCTGGCTCTGACTGCAAAGCCTATTTCAAAATCTGCCCCTGCCACATGGCCTCAACAGTGGTCAGCACTCTACAGTCTATACGGCGCTCACACAATCATTCTCAGGAGTAGGCAGAGCAGGTCAAGGGTCAGGGGGGTGAGGCAGAGGCAAGTTTTTGTATGTCCTTCTGCTGAAGACCTTAAGGCTGGGGATGGCCTGGGTGGGACCGTGGCCACCAGGCACCTGGGACTCACCTCACCCTCGCTCTGCAGAGCCTGCAGCTCCCTCTTGTAGGTCTTCTTGCCCAGGGTCTCATAAATCTTGGTCATCACGGGAATCTTCTCGCTGCCATCACTCATGGCCGTGTGGTACCTGGGCTCCGGGAGGTCCCCCATGAACCGGAGGATGGTGATCCAGACTGCCAGGGCCGCCTGGGAGGCAGAGCCATTCCACTCAGAAAGCCCGAGCACAGGATGTTACCAAGGCCATCAAAATGATCCACAGCTGGGGAGAGGCTAGAGAACCCCAACCCACCCCCCACCAGAGGAGGACCACTGAGCTGAGTGCCTCTGGGTGTTCTCCGGGCCTTGCACTGTGATCTGCCCCAGGCTGGATGCCAGCATGGTGAAATCAGCCCTGGTCCCTGCACACCAGGGCCCCTGCCCCTCTGCACCCATGCTGCCTGCACAGATGGTCCCAGCCCTCACCAGCTGATCACCCTCATCATCGTGGTACAGCAGTGGCTGCTTGAGTGGCCGCCGGGTGTAGGTGTGCGTGGTCGTGCCCTGGAAGTAAGTGGCAGCGAACTTGGCGAATTTATACTCGGAGAGATCTTCCTCGTCCTCGTCGGGCAGGGGTAGGGCTGCGTCCAGGTCCTCTTCCACCATCTCCCTCCGCCCGCGCTCCAGGTCCTGGAGGGAGGAGAGGGGTTCCCTGCCATGGGGGCAGACCCGGGGCTGAGCTGCGGGCTCCCAGCTGGTCCCTGAGGGGCCAGCTCTTTCTCCAGGAGCGTAGGGGTCTGTCCATCCGGTTCACTCCCGAGACAGAGCCCAGCGCATGGTGGGTCCTCAACACACAAATGAATAAAGGTTTGTGAACGGCCTTGGAGGGGGACAGTGGCTGGCCCAAGGTCACATTGCAGGCTGGTGGCTGGACAGGGCCTGGGACCTGTGGTCCCTGTCCCAGATCATCACTGCTGCCTTCCGCTCAGAGGGGACCAGGTGGACTATAACACAAAGTGGCATAAGGGGAGGGAAGGCCACCTTTCCAGGCCCACTAGGCCTGCTAGGGCCTGTCCCAACTCCTTCCCCAGCCTGGTACCTCGAAGCCACTAGGAGCCTGGCCCTCCTGGCCTGGCAGGCCGCCCGAAGTCCCCAGGAAGCCAAACATCTTGTCCACCATGTCCGAGTGATTGATGGGCTCGTGGCGGGCCCTCTCCATCTGCTCCAGGAGTTCCTTCTTCCTCCGAGCCTCCTCCTTCTCCTTCAGCTCCCGCTCTGCATCCTCGCGGGCCAGCTGGGCCAGGCGCTCCTGTGAGGCAGGGGTGATGCAGCGTCAGGGAGCAAGCCCCCTATGGGGGGAGCCCACGGGAGCCTCTGCAGCAACCAGGCCTGAGTCCCAAACCCAGGAGGCCCTCCTGACGGCTGTGAAAGACTAAGCCTTGGGCCTCGCCACCCAGGGCCACACACACTCAGTTCTCACAGCCCAGTGAAGACAGATGCCACACCAAGTCCAGACAGAAATGCCACCTGCCCTCAGGGCTCAGCTGGGACCACCTCCTTCAGGAAGCCCGCTCAGGCTTCCCCAGCCAAAAGGGACCACACCGACCCAGAAATCCCAGAGCCACTGGGCAGAGGCTCCAGACCAGTACTGTCCAATAGAAATATAATGCAGTCCACCCTGGGTCGCAAAGAGTCAGACACAACTTAGCGACTAAATGACAACATATACAGTGGCTACATTTAAAATAGTTCTTTCAAAAAATAGATCAATTTTAATAATGTGCTTCATTTAATCCAATATTTCCAAAGTATTGAAACAGAGCAGGACTCTCTGATCCCTGCCCCACCTCTACCATATCTTTCGCCTGTGGAAAACTTAGGTCAAAGAATAAGTTTAATCAGAGAAGTGAGAGATGCTGAAACAAAGGAAAACAGTCTAAGGAGATTAGTAACAACAGTGTCATCATTAAGCATAGTCAAGGAACTTTAGTTCTTTCTCAAGGGCTATAGATAATATTCTGAGCCATATCCTGTGAGCTGCCTTATAGATACCAAAACACCAGGTGGAGAAGTTAGCTGCATGATGACCAGACAGTACCCTGGACATGAGCTGCCACAATTCTGAGAACTGACCGCAGAGAAATGGGAACAAGTGCACCCCAGAACTGAAGATTAACTGTACCTGAAACAACCAAGATGATGCTAGTCAGACCACTGGTGACCAGTTGAAGATGACTGTTAGAGATGACTGTGCTGTTTCTGCATGTAACCTCCCCCCAACTCTGTCTAAGCTTTCACCCTCTGCTTGTTCGGGGCAAGGTGGGGTGGGAGTCGGCTTTTGGACAGATGTCTGCCACCCTCCCCTGCAGTTGCCGGCATCTGAAATAAAGCAAACTTTCCTTTCCACTAATCTGGCCTGCTTATTGGCTTTTGAGCTGCGAGCAGCCAGACCCTCCAGACACATACCTTTCGGTAACAGTATTATCTCTGCATGTAAATAATATTTAAAATATATCAGCTATTTTATATTCCTTTTTTTTTTTTTCCAACTAAGTCTTCAAAATCAAGCTTGTATTTGGGAATTCCCTGGCAGTCCAATGGTTAGGATTCAGTGTTTTCACTGTTGAGGGTCCAAGTTCAATCCCTGGTCAGGGAACTATGACTCTGCAACTTTTTATCCAGAGTTATCTCCCAGCTGAGGGCCTGGACCCACAGCCTTCTGACCCAGCACAGAACAGGCACTTCATAGATCATAGCCTTGTCATGGCAAAGGGGCTTGTGTAACTCAATGAAGCTATGAGCCACCCAAGACAGACAGGTCAAAGCAGAGAGTTCTAACAAAACATGATGGAGGAGGGAATGGCAAACCATTCCAGTATACTAGCCATGAGAACCTCATGAACTGTATAAAAAAGCAAAAAGATATGAGACCAAAAGATGAGCCTCCCAGGTCAGAAGGTCCAATATGCTACTGGGGAAGAACAGAGGACAACTACTAATAGCTCCAGAAAGAATGAAGCAGCTGGACCAAAGCAGAAATGATGCTTAGCTCTGGATGTGTCTGGTGATGAAAGTAAAGTCCAATGCTATAAAGAGCAACATTGCATAGGAACCTGGAATGTCAGGTCCATAAATACATAAATTGGACATGGTCAAGCAAGAGATGGCAAGAGTAAACATCAACATCTTAGGAATCAGTGAGCTCAAATGGATGGGAATGGATAAATTTAATTCAGATGACCATTGTATCTATACTGTGGGCAAGAATCCCATAGAAGAAATGGAGTAGCCTCTAT